GACCCATAAACACATACCTTATAGACTAACACAATACACTTATTATCTGTGACGTGTGACGCAACTTGGGTGTTCGGTAGCCGATCTCGGAAACGTCGACACATGACATACTCATCCGTCAGTCGCTAGCAATGAGTTTCGGTTTTGAAGGGTTAAGGGTGCTGGTGAAATCACAGGCACATGGGACTTGTCAATTTATGTCTCAGTGTGACGGGCGCAGTGGCAATGCCCCTCAGATCTTTGCGATTTAAAGTTTTGAGCGCCACCAGGCCCATAAATTGTCCATCCCGTTACTTAGTACGTTTTGGGGTTATTTGTAAAATGGCTAATAACTTCGCAGCACTATATGTATGACTGATATCATAATCTCAGAACAGAGTACTAAAAAACCAATCTCAAAAGCTCGTGGAATTACATCTATTTGACAAGTTTTATTGAAATCGATTACTGGAAAGAAATCGGATTCATCCCCTAGTTTGCCACCCTTGGAGGTGGAATATTTTCTTCAAATTTAAATGGGACCAATACAAAGGTACTCTCTTCCCAATAGAAAAAGAATCATCAAAATCGGTTCACAAATGCCGCGTAACTTACATACAAAAAACATGCAGTAGAATTGAGAACCTCCTCCTTATGAGTCAGTTAATAAACAATAACTTTTGTTCCATAACTTTGACAAAACATAATAAATTTGTTGTAATATCTGACAATTTTTAGGTCTTTACCTGGTCGTAAGGTTTTTTTATTACGCACACACTTATACAAATATTGTAGTACTTCGTGGTAGTTCAGCATGGTAACTAATCGGCCACGGAGGCAGTTATAAGGTGCTACGGTAGTAAGTTAAAACATGCAAGCGTCTTCCCAGACGACCCCCACCCGCGCTCCTGCGTTTTGCACAGAATTATCACAAAAAATAATTGAAAACGCGTATTTTTTATATGAACGCAACACAAAGCATCACAAGGAAAAAAAATATTCTTGTTTAAGTAGTGTAGTAGATAATAGGGGTTAAAGTATGAAATTGCCGATTTGTACTGAAAATCTAAATTGTTTATTTTTTAAATTTTTAACAAATTTAGTTAATCATAATAGTTGCCATTATTATCTATACATTGCTGCCATCTAATGGGAAGGTTATTAATGCCTTTGCGATAGAACTCCGACGATCTAGACTGCACAAACTGTGTGAAAGTATTTTGTACTGCCTCCTGGGAAGAAAACTTCTTGTCACGTAGATAATTGTCCAAATCACGAAAAAAATGGTAGTCCGTTGGAGCAAGGTCTGGTGAATACGGAGGATGACGAATGGTTTCTAACTGCAGTTCCTGAAGGGTCAAAATGGTTTCTCGTGCTGTGTGAGGTCTCGCGTTGTCGTGGAGCAATAATGGTGGAGATCGATTCATGAGTCGGGGCTGTTTTACTGCTAGTTTTGTCAACATGGTTCGGAGTTCGGCACAATAGACATCTGCCGTTATTGCTTGACCAGATCGGAGAAAACTATAGTGAATAACACCATGCTGAGACCACCAAACAGTTACCATTACCTTTTTATTGGTAAGTTTTGCTTTAGGACTGGCATTTGACCTGGGGTCAGCCATTGCATTTTTCTTTTCCGGTTATCATAAAGAATCCACTTTTCATCACATGTTACAATTCGATCCAATATTCCTTCATTTCTGTACCGGTTCAACAAGGCAACACAAGTTTCAACACGCGTTTCTTTCTGTAGATCAGTCAAATCATGAGGCACCCATTTTTCGTATTTTTTTAGTTTATTGATTTGACGCAAGTGAGTCAATATTGTGGGTAAGGTAACGTTAAACCATGCCGCTAATTCCTGGGTAGTTTGACTAGGATCGGCTTCCACTATCTCTCTTAATTCATCGTTATTCACCTGTGTGGGCGGTCTTCCTCGTGGCTCGTTCTTTAAGTCGAAATTTCCATCACGAAAGCGTTTAAACCAAAATCGCACGGTGCGTTCATTAGTAGACCCCTCTCCAAACGCAGCATTGATATTGCGGGCTGTTTCTGCCGCGTTAGTTCCGCTTCGGAACTCGTATTCAAAAATCACTCGAATTTTCGCAGTATCCATCTTTCTTGTCTAAATTGAATAACAAAAACAATTGAAAGTCGATATTCAAATGTTTCAAATTTAAAAAAAAAAATCACAGAAACCATTTGAAAAAAGTTTCATTCGAAAACCTCAAACCATGAAGATTCTATGAAAATTCAAAGAACCTATTGCAATAAAACGGCAATTTCATACTTTAACCCCTAATATATAACCCACCCCCCTCGGACTCTTCAGCGCTCACAGGGTAGCGGTAGGGACCACTTCGCTGCGATCTATTTCTATATCTTTATTTTTGTAAGAAAGTAAAGCCTGATGAATGGACATTGGCAGAATTGAGACAATAGACTCACAAGTCATTCATTAACAAAAAAACCTGATGATTTATTTTGTACATTAATAATTTTAGCTTGGATACAAGTCCTTTGAGCCATGTCTTCGTTTAATTATGTTTCTGTAAATAAGGCCGCCACAAAGAGGATAGGCAATTTGAGGCGGCGTGCTTGGATTAATAATAATAATAACGCTCACAATCAACATGGCCCCGCACTAGGGAAACCCTGTGTCGCGGGTGCCATGGACACACACATAGACAACCACAAATTACACCCAAACTCACGAGAGAAATAAATGTAGGCCATACAAATATTTCTCCCGGCCCGGGAATCGAACCTGGGAGCTCTGCGTGGCAGTCCGGCATGGTAACCGTTCCGCCACAGAGGCAGTTAATAAATAATTATATTTATTATTATTAATAAAAGGATTGATTTGGGATTCCTTAGAACGGGCCGATACGGGTATTTTAGTTCGAGATTCGTATAATTTCGCGTTTTAATCTTCGATTAAGGCACAATAGCACTATCCTATTCCACTTTAAACTGGATTTCACAAAATAATTGAAAGTCAAAATAAAAACGACACTTTTACCTTCAAAAGGCCCAGAGCGAATCCCCTGAAGAATTATAAACAGTGATCGGACTAGTCAAGACTTTTTTACCTAAACTTTGAAGAAAATTACCTTAACCCATTGACTTACAATTATATGGACGTCGGGTCCGCGCTAAAAAGTGTCCGCACTTGTAAGGCGCTAAAATCGTATACAGAGCGCGACACTCCGCTTTAGTCTTCATTTGTTCTACTGACAGCGCGATACTGCGATGACATCAATTTAAATTTCGAATAGGTTGACTTGGGACATTTATTTCGTGGTTTTTGTATTAGACCCGTCGTCCATTTATTTGTAAGTCAATATCTTAACCCGACATTTTTTTGTTCAGGATCCTTTCGGGATTAAGTAATAATAATAATAATAATAATAATAATATCTTTAGGAAATGAAACTATTTTTCCGGATTTAAATCGCGTATATATGTTTTTTCAAACAAACCGACGCTTCGGGCCCTTTACAGGTCCCGTGGTCACGGTTGACTGTTAAATCCGGAAAAATAGTTTCATTTCAAATTCAAATTCAAATTCAAAATAATCTTTATTTCATAGGTAAGCATTATTACACTTGAAATCGTCACAATATGGTTAAACTCTACCGCTCATACGTAAGGCAGATTCCCCTGAGAAGAATGAGCAAGAAACTCTAGGGGTTGCTCTTTGTAAATAACATTTACAATTTTTTTTTTTTTATTTGATACATCAGAGATCGAGACTACCTCCATGAGCTAAACGGGTTACTACCACGGATTTTTGTCATCCAAGTACGCAGATTCCTATGTGTAACAATCGCGAAAACCTAAGAACTCGATAATAATATCTTTATTAACACTTTTGCCTTATTAGTACAGAGCAGCAATTTTATAATAAGCAAGTGGAAGGTTTGGGAATAACCCGAAAAATTGGTGGTTGCAACAATTCGTCGCAAAGTATAAGTAAATATAGTTTACCTATCCCAAATAACGTTAATTTTTAATAATATGCTTAAGTTATTTCTTCAATCCCGAATAGATCTGTTACAAAAAAAATGTTGTCACAGGGTAGTCTCCACTTCCTGTTCCTCGATAAATTCCTATCACTGGTTATAAGTCATCTAACAAAAGCTGTTCTTTATGTTGTTAGTAGTTCTGTATGGTTGTTGTATTTAAAATAAAAATAATCCTGTGTATTTACTTACCAAATGTGCCATTAAGTATTACTAAAACTGACACACTAATAACCTTCATTTTGTTTTTACATAAGTATCATTTTCGTGCTATTAAATGACTTTGACTCATTATTACACACTGTGAATCATTCTCTCGAATATCTTAAATAAAAAGTTTACTTTTATGTTTACGTGTTGTTGATTGAATACGACACACCCAATTAATAAATGGAAAGAAGAGACCTACATGACCCTATAAGGAAAATAGTAGACTGTAATATTATAGGTACTAGCTGTTGCACGAACAAGTCATGTGCATTTGATGGTAAGCTATACGTCGTACCAGTTGCAGTGCCACTCAGGCTTTTATCGCAAAGATGTGAGGGGCACTTCCACTGATCCACTGCTCCCGTCACCCTGGGACATAAGTTGACGAGTCCCATGTGCCTGTAATTTCGCCAGCACCCTTCCCCTTCAATTCTATTAAAGATAATTTATAATTTTATCGATTGTTTGAATTTTTCATTGTGTAAAAGCTACCTTGCGTCGAGTATTAGAACTAAATAGTTTCTAAATGCTTGTTAAATTTGCTACTGCCCGCTAGAGAGCGCTTTGCCTAAAAATTGTCATCGTAGCGCGTATCCGACCACAGGAAATGAACTGTCTAGGAACTGTCAATGATGAAGAAAACATCAAATTGTCTATGAATTTTTTGGCGCACGCGGAAGTAGCTATCGCTCCGATTTCCTTTTCCTTTATTCAAAAATTTAGCTTAAATTCAGTGAAAATTGCGGAAAAACTTTGCTGAAAACCTTCTACGCGCGGTGCAAGTGGAATATTAGTGATATTATTGTATTTGAATTGTGAAAATCAAGATGGAGGTGTCGGACTTGAACGATATTCTAAACGTTAGAGCTATTAAGATGGAAACTGGTGAAAATGCCTTCGATGAGGGAACAGACGGTGTTGAAATGTCGGACGCTCTATCTATTATACCTCAATACGTTACAGAATCTGATTTAGGTAAGTTCTAAACATGTAAACTTTACACAACCAATTTTGACTTTGAACGCAATACAGGAAAACAGTCGTCGAAACTTCAAATGTTTCCTGGCTTAAAAATTAAGGATGAATTTATTACTGTAGTACTTCCCCCATTAGCAGTCCTGCTAGTCCTGGTCTTTCTAAAGCATAGCTCAAGTTTCAAGCATTTCTTGAAACCACTAATCATTGTATTGCTATTGAGACTCCACTGTGATTGTATCGCAATTATGATAATATTTTGTTATTCTGCTTAAACCTAGTTCGAATGACAGTTGAGTCTCGATAGTGTCTACTTGGTACTTGGTGTAACGGGCTGGTGTACACAATTCGACGTCAAGGCGCCTATTTTGCGTGTGGTGGGTGCAGGATCCTACTCGTGCCACCCAAGCTCCTCCAGAAATCTCGGCAACCTCCTCGGTTTGCTGAAGACTTCAGGGAGCGACCTCGGCATTCCAATGCACTTCGCCTTGTAGTTGGCACACCCGAGCACTGTAGTAGGATGTGCGCTGCCATTTTCACCCCCTCCATGCGTACTCTGCATAGAGGGCTGTCTGTGATACCTAAATTGAAAAGGTGTTTATTGTATGGACCCATTAACCCTGTTGCCTTTTGAGTTGATTTAATTTTCGAGATAGACTGGCATTGAGCACTGGGGGTGCTTCCCTCGCCTGCCTATGAACCGTGAGAGTAGTCCATGTGTCATTATGAGAAAATTTTGTAGACAGTGTAAAGAAGTCATGCACCTGATGGTAAGCTCCACACCTGTCCATAACACTTGGAGTGCCACTGAGAACTTTAAATCGCCATGATCTGGGGCACTGCCACTGGGCCCGTTACCCTGAGACGTAAGTTGACAAGTCTCATGTGCCTGTAATTTCACTAGCACCCTTACCCTTCAAGACTGGAACACAGTAATGCTGACGTTTCTGCTTCGCTGCAGAAATAGGTAAGGTGGCAGTACTTCCCTGGACGAACTCTTCCACAAGGAGCACTACAACTACTAATCAATAATAGCTTCAGCTCATTCTTCCATCTTTGATGATGACACCCTCTATTACATTTTCCATCATGTGGTTACCAATTGGTGATATCCTGCTCCATTTCTCCGGCCCAAGCAACAGATGCCCAGTCCATCTCCGTTTTGCCTGATCTATCTTTGAAAACACATCAATACCATTAGAATTACTTGTAATTGAAATAACAGTAAATACTTATGGAACAATTTTATTTGTGTAATGCGCCTCAAAATACAAATTTAAAAAGAAAAAGCAGAGTGAATCTTTGTTGGGACATTAGCTGAAATTTGTGTTAATTTTCCTATTTAATTATATTGTTTCATGTTTAAATTTTTATTTAACTCGCGTCCACATTTGTTTTTATTTTATTCATATATTTTTATTTCTTTTAATCGGCATTTTCGAAAAGGGTCCACTGAAAACCAGCGCTGTGGCCCAGCCGCAGTATTAGCTGAGTTGGGTCCTTTTCAGTGCAATAATACACTTTTAATACTAATTATTAATATTGTACTCCACGTGTATTGTGCTGAATAAATTACATTTCTTTCTTTCTTTCTTTCTTTACTTTTTATTTAACTAACTAAAAATGTAAGTGGGATTTTGTTATATATTTTGCAATTGATATTTTAAATACTATCAAGGTGTCGTTTAGTGATAATGATTCTATTTTGTAGATTGTGTTTTATAATTTATATTTTAATTAAGATATGCACGCGTGCAAGATATGCAGAAGAATCTACCCATGGCAGCCCACTGCTTTGACTTACCACCTCTCAAGCAGAGGGGTGTGGGTTCAAATCCAGATTTGCACCTCTGAGATTTCAGAATTTGTGTTCAAAATTTAATTTGAAATTTATGAGCTTTTCGATGTAGCAATGCACCTGATGCAATTAAAAAAAACTAATAATATCTGATGCACAAAACTAACGAGTCGTAAAAAAGCTCAGTGTCATAGTTAAAATAAAATTGGCACATTCTTAATAAATCTGTGTAACAAGAAAAGTACTTACTATTCTGATTTGAGCCAGTATTCTTCAAAAGCAGCTATATCTGGAAAGTAATATAAAAAGTTATTTATTATATGATAATAACATAATGTTAGTTCTTATATGTTTCAAATTTCACCATTAGCACACTACATCTCCCGCTCTCATTGGCTTTCCTCTACCTCAAAGGTTATCTGGAACTGGCTCTTAGCAATAAGGCCGCCTTTGCCCACATTACTTCTAAAGTGTTTTTGTACTATTATTGTCTGTGAGCAATAAAGTGTCTATCTAGGCTCTTTATGACACTCAACGATAAAGTTACATACATTTTCTATTTTGCTATTTCAGGTCTTATGCAATCCAACTCCGAGATCCTCCAAACACCGTTGGCCGTCTTTGACACAGCTGATGATGAGGACACTATGCAGAGCAATGACTCAGGAGGTAATTAATATTCTTTATAACTACACTGTTGATTATAATAATAACTGCGGACTTAGCGAGGCTAATAAGTACATATAGCACGTAAGTAATTTCTTTGCCATCTGCCACCAAAAGCCATTATCAAATGGGTCTTTTTAAGAAGATAGAAGGGAGTTACTATGCTGCCAACAAAATCTAATAATAATACAGAATTCATAGTAGTAGCCTTGACCAATAAGGCTTAATTTAAATTTTGGCATTTAATGTTATATTATATTCCATTTCAGAGGAAGTGATAGTCCAACTAATGGACATTCGCACGAGGCTATCAAAGCTGCGCACAATGTTGGAACGAAGACTTGGCGTAGACCTCTCCGATTATACATTCTGGCTTCAAGATGCTAAATTGGTAAGTATCATTTCATTGTTTATTATACTATGTTTATTATATTCGTACTCCAAAAGCAATGGCGGGAGTACCTGATGATGTTATGTAATAAAAAAATACTAAATTATGACCGTTCCTGGCCTACTAATACAGCAAATAGCTACCTTTGTCCATAACAACTTAGAAAAGTTTCAGCATAATGGGATTAACGAGGTATGCTTTACGCAGCAACACACATTTTAACCTTATAATATTCTGTCCAATTTAACCAAGTCAGAACAGTCTGTCTATGTAATTGAAGCACTAGCATACAACAAGATACCGTATGACATCAAAGGTGCAGCATCACCGTTTAGTTAGTAAAGAAATGGCTACAAGAAGAACAATTCTATAACTTAGAATTCCTTATTTCTTAAAGTCAAATGTCACAATGTAATTTCAATCGTATCATCATTGACTTACAAATAAGTGGACGACGGGTCTAATACAAAAACCCCGAAAAAATGTCCCAAGTCAACCTATTTAAACGTATTGACATGTAAAGGAATATGAAAAAGCTAAAACGTTGAATTTAAATTATAATGTCATCGCAGTACTGTCTAATTTTCCTTGCTTCGCTGTCAGTCGAACAAACGAAGACTAAAGCGTGAATGACGCTCTGTATACGATTTTAACGCCCTATAAGTTCGGACACTTTTTAGCGCGGTACCGACGTCCATATAATTGTAAGTCAATGCGTATCATGATTTATCTTTGATTATTTGATATTGTACTTGATATTGTACATTTTATTTATTTATTTTTTTATGACACATAATTATAATGTTCAGTTTTCCAAATGTTGAATGGTATTGCTAACTGACTTGTAACATATAATATTGTTACCAATAAATAATTTAATTACATTAGTATATTAATACCTTGTATTTCCAGTTGTACTTCTAAGTATAACTTTAGATGCTAAATTACAACGGGGTATATAAATAGTTAACACGATTAAAAAATAATAGGAAAACTTTCAGACGTCGAAATCGCTAGATTGGCTTACTTCAACACTTTTAGAGTTTAATGGCATACGGCATTTCCCTCGTTCTGTGGAAATATGCGGTTAGGACATCGAGTATATAATCAGAAATAGAGACGAAATGTCATTTAATATGTTTGAAAATTAGTTTGCCCAATCATTACGGTGACTACTGCGCTCCGATTGGTCTGCCCCAATTCGAAACAACTGACGGGTGTCGTCAATTGTTTCTTAACTTGAGCTATGCTATAATTGAGGAAAATTGAAAAATTACATATTGAATATTTAATTACCGATGAAATGTGATTCCGTTTGTTTTGTAATTAGATGTTTGCTGTTTTTCCCACATCACCGAATGGAACAGCCCCCCATTGTTAGAGATATATCTTTATCGCAATAAATACAGAATATTTTTGGAATATACGGAGACGTACACTACTACTCAGCTATCTAATTTGTGATTTCTGATATGTGATATTTAAAAGTGATATAAGGCCTATTTGCCTGATGAGGTGCCAGGGATGTATGCCCTTATTTCGTCTCCATTTCTGGTTATATACTCGATGGGTTAGGACAATTTACACTGTGGGCCCCATGTCTTTATCTTTAAATCCGATGACACTACAATAATATGGGAACCTTAATCCGATTCTGCAACCAGGACAGTCTGCAGATTACACAAACTCCTCAACTGTTTACAGAAAAAGTAACGTGAATGTATGAATGAATGAAATATTCTTTATTGCACATTAAAAATTACGATAACAATACCGAACAGTAATGCAAGTATCACAGAGTAAGCTAATTTCATTCATCAACATCATAAGAGCAGCAATTTCTTCCAGGCAACCTTAAGATTGAAATTTAAGAGTTGAAAAAGGGGGTGCAACCAAAGAATATCTTGTAATGAAAGTGTTTCAAATAGATACACTCTTCATCTAAAGTAAATATAAAAATAAATACTTTAATACATACATAATTGAAATGTGTATATAAAATAATAACACTGCCCTCGAAAAAAAGACACAACTGCTGTATATAACGTACAGTTGTGCCTTTCTTCGTTACGAGGGCGGAATATATAATAATAAGATTCCTTATATACTTTTGTAGGAAAATGAAATAAATAATAAATTAATAAATAAACAAAGGAAGAAATTATATTGTTATTATTGTTTGCGTTAGTGACGATCATATCATCCCTTGACATTGTATTTTTAATTGTGATATTGTGACATTGATATTATGAAATAAATTATTCTATTCTATTCTATAACATTATGCAAAAAGGAAATTAAATGAATTAAAATAACCTCGACGAGTTTGCAGGTGGTGTCTTTATTGATTTTGGAGTACACTTTTTTTGTAAAGGGGTTTTTTTTTTTCAGGCAAAGTTCACCAACTCATTGCCCAGTTAGTGTAGGGATCTCAACTATGCAATGTATCGGGGAGTTTTTAATTGAAGTTTTATTATGCTGTTCTGCAGCAAGCACATAGGGAAATTCGTAAAGTCTGCTGACTCGTTCCGTAGCCCATTTGAGAGAGCGATAGACCGCAGATCTTTATAGCGGTTGAATTTTTTTATCGCGCGTTCTTGAATCTATGCCGCCTCTACTAATTTCAAATTGATCTTTTACACCATGTGAGAAACGAGTATAAGCGAGAGTACCCCGAGTGATCAAGGACTTTGGTTACATTTTTTTTAAAGTAAATTGACTTCCTCTTGACCACTACCTAGCCCTGGAGCTATGATAGGATCTACGATGGAACGAGCTCGCTCAGGAGATCTGCCGTCTACTAATCAAAACTCGGCTAAGTGACAAATGGTCAAATATCCGATATAAATAGCAAAAGATTCTGTTTTAAAAGCAGTTAAAATAAGTTAACGTGTTCGGCTTATCGGAGCTTATCCTAACTATGCATAGCTGAAATAGCATTAAACAATTTCGTTATTCAAAAACTGGGCTATGGTTTTTTATGATATCTCAAAAAAATACAGACATGCCAGTCGCACGTTAAAGATTCTCGGGTTGTATGTGCTTGGAAACAGTCGCAGGCAGGGAATTCCATTTCTGGGCTATGCGTATAATAAATCGATTTTAATTGCAGTAGAGTTCCTTGTGAAAGAATACGTCCAAAGACGTATACTACCTTACCTAATTCTGACGCAAAGCAGTAATATAAGCTTTACTACATTTCGGTTATGAAGGTTAAGGGTGCTGGTGAAATTACAGGCACGTGTGACTTGTCAACTTATGACTGGCGCAATGGCATCTCAGATCTTTGTGATTGAAAGCACTCAGGGATACTGCAACTATTATGGACGACTTGTTTGTCCCGTTACTTGATTTCATAAAAAAAATCGACCAAGCAAGGATGATATCGCACGCCTGGACGTCCGATGATAAAAGGGGCGGGCGAGATGACCTGATGGAACTCACGGGCACACTCACCGAAATATATTCTATAGGAAAGCGTCAGACAGGCAACTTGCGCCAGTGGGTTGGTTGATTTGCATAACAGTGAAAGGGTTGAATCAATCACTTAAAAAAATATATATAGTAAAATTTAGGATATATACTGATTAGTATACGGTGTGAAAACATTTCTAAAAATTTTCACTATAGAAAAGACAACACAAATTTACCTCGAAATAAAATAAAATACCGTCTCGCGCTAAAAAGTTTGGCAATTCGTTTTTATGCCGAACCATCAAATTGTGGAACCAACTCCCGGCGCATGTATTCCCTCCCCTCTATAACATCGGGTCCTTCAAACGTAGTGTGAAGAAGCATTTGGCCAGACCGGCAAAATGATAGTGACGGAGTGAAGATATTTGTGTTTTCCATCCGTTACTCTCAGCTCTGGACTGTATTCGCACTTTCCATCAGGCGCGGTGCAGTCATTTTGCCGAGTCACAATAAAAAATAAAAAAAAATTTACAAGAAAACAGCGGTATTCAATAGGTACTTTACATATGGCACTGGTAATACAATAGTGTATTAACTCAAAAAGTGGACTTCCTCAGAATCGATGAAAAACGAATTACTCACGTCCCGCAAAAAAAAATCATTAAAATGTATGTATGTTGTAGTTTAGTATAGACACTTAAACAATTTCTCAAATATATTTAAAATTAAAATGGAAAAGATAATGTTTTTGAACAAGGATTATTTTGGCCAGAACTAGACCTCACATAAGTGTGTCTCATTTTGAGCTAAATGGATATCTTTTGATTATTTCTTACAATATTCTAACAACGGTTCTTTCGACGTGTAGAGAATCAAATTTTACGTTCAGTAATGATATAATATTCAATTTCACATATTTTGAGTTACAACACTATTGTAATAGCAGTGCGATATACCAATGATTTTTCTTATATCAACTGAGCTAAATAGAACACGTTATACGATATACATTTTTCAAATAGCTTCAATTTAGTTTGTAAAAGAAGACACTCTGAAATAAAGCCTGTGTCCCTGCCGGTGTATTCAAGCCAAATAAACCGCATTAGTACGGGTAAAATTCGATCTGATGTAGTATAGACTCTTAAGTAGTGGTATTGAAAGGACTGTTCGTGCTGCCCTTTTAAATCTAACCTAATATTAATAATTTTGCAGTTGGAGAGCCACAAAACGCTTGTGGAACAATGCATCCGTGGCTCCGGAGTAGTGCAAGTGAACATAGCGCTACGACCTGCTGAGAAAAAGATCAATATCCTAGACGTTCTTAAGCCAGACACAGAATTGGCCAACACTTTATATCCTAACTGTGAGTATTTATATCTCGCTTTGTAAGGTCCACTTCTCATAGTAGCTTATTCTACACATAAAATAACCGTAAATTTTAAAGTAATTTTACATTTTAAGTTGCCCGCCTCTATACGAAAGTTTGTAAACAAACTAATGAATGCTAAGAGTCGTATTCTAGAACTCTACTCAATGCTCAAGTCAGGACTTGAGTATGATTTAAAGCATTGAAAATCATACTCAAGTCCTTGCCATTAAGGTCGTATTTCCAGTGCTTGAAATCATACTCAAGTCTGCTCAAATCCTGACTTGAGCATTGAGTAGAGTTCTGGAATACGACCCTTAGTGTTGCTATGTTAATTCTACATACGTTCTTTATGTAGTTCTATTAAAAAGATACACCCAATTAAATATAGATAAGTACATATGTAACCTATTTATCGTTAAGATTTACAAAATAGAAATTACCCATATATTGTAATAATTTGCTATTATAATAATTTTGTTACATTATTTTAACAAAGTTTTACATCTGGCAACGATTCTGACATTAAAACAAATTAAACTATAATTTGTTGGAATAAGGTTTACATTTAAGGGAACACCATTCGACAATAACTCGAAGTATTCCGGCTTCTCGGCCGCTGTTTCTTTAGATGTTATAAAGCGGATTTTTGAGAATGTGTGATATAATATATAATAATAATAATAATAACAACGCACGCACTCAACATAGCCCCGCACTAGGGAAACCCTGTATCGCGGGTGCCTGGACACACATAGACAACCACAAATCACACCAAAACGCATGAGAGAAATAAATGTAGGCCATACAAATATTTCTCCCGGCCCGGGAATCGAACCTGTGACCTCTGCGTGGCAGTCCGGCATGGTAACCGCTCGACCACGGAGGCAGTTGATGTATGATATATTTTGATGGAAGCTCGTAGATTTCATGAATGAAATAGAACTCGCAGATCCACCGGCCCACCTCGCGCTGATTGATAGAGATGTATCGGGACAAGTTGTTACGCGTTTAATAGTGAATATTCTGAATAAATGTTTTCGATCGCGCTATCACTGGTAATAGGCACGTGGACAATTTTAGGCAAGCCAGTGGTAATCGAGCTATGTGGACGCCTCGCCACTGGTAGCCATTCCAAACACTTCTTTTACGAAGTAACCACAAAAAAGCTATTAAATTATTATAAATATTAGACAACAGTAAATGGAGCCATGAATGGTCTGATGGGGAGCAACATCGTATCCCAAAAAGCACACATGTCCGTACACTATGCTTTGCTGGTCCCTACACTGACGTTTGATAGTGAGAATTGGGTGTGGGAGAAGAAGCATGAAAGTATAATTAATGCAGTGAAAATGAAATCTTTAAGGAAAATTTGTGGACTGAAGTTGAGTGATAGAGTGAAGAATACAATAATACGTGAAAGAGGATGTGGTGACTGGAATAAAGAAAGTAATGTTGAGGTGGTTTGGGCATGTAGAGCGGATGGATGTGAGAAGAATTACCGAACAGATTTATGATGCGAATGTGGATGGAAGGGTTAGGCGTTACATTGACCAGATCAGTGATATCCTCAAAAAGGCTGGAACCCCAAGTGACAAGAATGAAAGACGTTGTATGAAAAACGTAGTTGATGTATGTGCGGTTCGATAGTTGTGTCAGGATAGAGTTGGACAAGGGCGCGAGCTTAAGTATGTATGTATTAGACAACACCACATACGTTGCTCTCATCCCAAAGTAAGTAACTAAAGCGCTTGTGTCATGAAAATCAAAAACAACGATCATGCCACAAAGACCCGAGACAATATAGAAAGTTATTTTATTATTTTATAGTTAAGGTACATCAACAGTAGTACATATACTCTTAGGTAATAGTGTAGTTTCACATTAGTTTTGTACTTATATGTCTACCCATTACAGATGTACACAGCATTTAATATCTATGCAACAGAAACAATAACACGAAATTATACATATATATAGATATACATACATACATACATACATACACATACGTACTACTTACTATTACTTTAATTACTAATTACTTATAAAATTATTGGGGAAGCGATTCAAGAATTTGATTTTTGAAAACATTACGAGAAGAATAAAAGATGTCTATATCAATTTGAGAATTAATTTGGTTATAAGTGGAGCAGAATCTAGATAATGGACTGTGCAAAGCTAGGTTAGTCCGGCAACGTGGTATCTTAAAGATTTTGGTTATTTTATGACGGGGGTATTTATATGGTATGTTAATATTTATTTGATTTAGGATATTGCAGCACTTTATTTTATTATTTAGTATATCATGTAAAAATAGAAGGTCAGATAAAGTACGGCGATAAAGTTATGCGTACCGGGATCCTTGCCCGGCCGGGTCAATGTAGAAAACTAAGTTTCTATATTGTGTCAGGTTCGGGTGTTTGTGGTACCGTCGTTGTTACCGATTTCCATGACACAAATGCCTTTGCTATTTACTTTGGGATCAGGGCAACGTATGTTATATAAAAAAATATACTACAGAAAAAAATCCAATGTCCGCAATATCGCTGATCCGACCCACTACGTCGCAAAGTTAAGATAAATATAGTCCGCCTGCCTGTCCCCAATTACGTTAATTTTTAATGTACTTAACTTAGAATAATAACGCATAGAAACCTAGTCCGCACACGCTAAGTGAGGCAAATTGAAGCGCGCCAAAAGGGCCTACACGAGCGGGCGGGCCTTCAGTGCTCAAGGTCAACTTGCACCGCGAACAGCTCAAGAATTTTAGCTAAAAATGACGAATTGTGCGGTAAATGAGTGTAAAAATACGTCAGACAAACATAAAATAGATACTAACATCACATTCCACAAGGAAGTAACGCGTTTCAACTTGTATTTTTATATAAATATTCACTAAAACCGAAAATTAACCTACTACTAAAACCAGCCTACATGAATTTGATTTTTGCCTCACTTGTGACAGATCGTTTGATATGAAACTATCATTCTATGCGTTATTATTCTAAGGTACTTAAGTGATTTCCCGAATCTCGAACAGGTCCAGGACCTAAAAAATATTGTCGAACGGCAGTCTCCATGGCAGTCTCCATTTTCTGTCTATGTTCCTCCAAGGTTTAGGTAAAAAAACTAACCTTAAAAAAAAAACAACCTATTCCAATCCCTGGTCATAATCGACCCGGTTATCAAAAATGATCGATCGACACAAGTCTAACATGTATATGGCTCTTCAGATTTAGAGCTAGAAGACACCACGACAACTGAGCCAGGGGAACTTGTCGAGACATGTCTGGAAGGAGAAATGCGGCCGCACGCTGCGGCCGTCAAGTGGGTGGTCGACGCGCAGTTCAAACTGGACCACGCCAGAGCCAGGATACCCGATGACCCGGCGCAGTGGTGAGTTGTAAACAGGCGTTCACAGGTCTCTCAGGTTGCGACGGAGAGAGCGAGAAAGGTTCAATGTATCTGGTGACCTCAGATAATAAAAAAAGACTATATGTACGAGGAATCCAATCCTATTTAACCGACTTCAGGTTCTTTTATAATGTATTTGACATGTCAAATAAATACGATTTTATTTTATTATTTATTATTTCCTCTTTTATACTGTTAGGTATATAATTAAAGATTTGTATAGCTTTAGGGTGTGTGCTGTTTTTAAATATTTAAATAAAACATTTTTACGGGCGGACTTTGTAGTTGTTTGTTGCGCCTAGCGCTGGTGCAATATTTAAATTCGTCAATGTTTTTCCTTACGAATAGCGGTGATTCAATAATATAAATGGAGGGAAACGATAGAATTGTTCCTCATATACAGTACATTTTGCAGCTAACTCTTGGTCCTATATTTACCAGAGTTATAATACTTATAACTACCACTGCTGCACACCGGTCCCCGCCAACACAAGAATTACATATGAAACACAACACTTTAAAATTAATGGTGTGTTTTACCGCAGGTCCGTACAACATGTCAAATTATGGATCCAGTGGGCAGTCCGTCAGTTCAATTTGACAGGTGTCAAACTCTCGGACTGGAACATGAACGGCTCAGAGCTATGTGCCATCAACAACGTCGATTTTAAGTAAGTACACTGCGGTATATGGCTTTTTGGCGTGCATAAAGGCCTGTTCAGATGTAAACGATATTCGCTATCGCTGTGTGTAGCGAAAAATACTGCTGTTTCTCGCCGGGTATTTATACAGTGTTTTTTAATGGAACAATTTGAGGAAATCCGAAATCATAGAAGATACAAGGAAACTGTCTTAAGAACCATTAAGTCTTTTTTGTGAAAACAATTTTGGTATAGTCAATTTTTTGGTCAAGGGTGAGTTGTCCATGAAAATTTTTTATTAGTTTATTTATTTAGGACAACTTACAAAACACACAAACAAGTGGTCAAAACAGTAAATATTGTGGCTCGGATTTTGTGTGTTGTTTCATTAATAAGTTAGGAGTATTTAAAAAAAAACTAAAAGTTTAACTACTTACAAATTAACTGTTTAAGATTAATGTTGCTTCTATTTATTGGTTACTCTACTTGTCATCTAGTTAGGTACAATTTTGTTTTTACAACTTTAGTTATTATTACAAAAGTACATGGATGCATTTAATGGAAGTACGTATATTAAATATAGTAAATTATGTATAAATAAATGTGTTCATGTGAGTGGCGACTCGGGTAGCATAAAGTAGCCTTTTTAATTCGGCTTTGTACTTATTAAAGGTTATACGAATAAATGTAACTATGGCCTGTACCTTCGCCTGAGAGGAAACACGTACCCAGCAGTGGGCCGTATAAATGGGTTGATCTAAAAATATCACCCTGTCCCACTGTCCGTTAAACTAAAAAGGACATTTTTTTTAATTTTCAGAGATAAAGTGCCATCTGACCCAGGGGACCTGTTCTGGACACATTTTGAATTGTTACGAAAATGCAAGTTTATTGGTAAGCATTTATTTTACTAATTAAAAGCCAGGGTTCGAAGTGATAATTATAACGATAATTAATTAACGATAATGGTAGATTATCATTATAATTAGTAGGGCGCGTAAATAGCCTCAGCTTATGTCTCAGTGTCGGGCGCAGTGGCAGTGCCCCTCAGATCTTTGCGATTTAAAGCTCTGAGTGGCACTGCAACTGTTATGGATAGGCGTGTTGCTTACTATCAGGTGCACAACTTGTTCGTCCTGTCACTTCATATTATAAAAAAAAATACTATGCGAAAAATGCGAATGGCTAGCACGGGATCCAGTCACCTGAAGATACCTGTCGGCGTAGATGAACGAATGATAGATATATAGCGAATATCACCGGGTGCCCGGCGATAGAAAGAGACGGCATGGACGGCCGAGAAGGCGTTGGCGGGATGATCTTGATGGGATTGTGAGGAATGGTGGGAGATCGCCAAAGACAGGGAGCAATGGAGGATTTTGAGGGAGACCTTTGCCCAGCAGTGGAACATAATAGGTTAATTTTTAAAAAAACTTGACAAGAAGAATATTTAGAATCAATGATGGATTATTATTTTTGTACACGGCCCACCAACGAGCAGGCCTCTACTCCATATACCAAGGAGGATTTAGTGCGTAACCAATAATATAATTAATGATAATATAATTATCATGACAATATCATTAATGATAATTTATTTGTCATGTTAATATAATTAATGATAATTTATTTATCATGGTAATATAATTAATGATAATTTATTTATCATGATGATAAAAAAACTGAAATGTTTATGAAATTAATTGGAACAACAATATGTTTGGGTCAGACACATCTCCTAAGGGTGCGACCGAAACAATGAATTTATTGCAAACCAAATTTCCCGATCGCACACGAAATTCAGCCTTTAAGTGGCCAACATGTGATTTAAAACCGCTGGATTATTTTTTATGGGGTTATGTTAAGGACAGAGTCTATATGGAGCCAATCGAATCGATTGCAGCCATTGACTTACAATCATATGGACGTCGGGTCCGCGCTAAAAAGTGTCCGAACTTATAGGGCGTTAAAATCGTATACAGAGCGTCATTCACGCTTTAGTCTTCGTTTGTTCGACTGACAAAATTAGACAGTACTGCGATGACATTACAATTTAAATTCAACGTTTTAGCTTTTTCATATTCCTTTACATGTCATTACGTTTAAATAGGTTGACTTGGGACATTTTTTTCGTGGTTTTTGTATTAGACCCGTCGTCCATTTATTTGTAAGTCAATGATTGCAGCTTTAAAACTCAAAATTCGTGAAGTGATTAACGAAATAGATGCACCATTTTATCAAAAAGTGATTAAAATCTTTAATGAAAGAATCGACATCTGTTACTGTGCTCGTGGTGGACATTTATCAGATATCATTTTTCATTCACAATTCCAAAACCAAAGTTTTATTTTGATTTGCAAAACAAAGTTATTGTTGAAAAACCCTTTATTTATTTCTTTATTATAATTATTATTGACCAATATTTAATTTTGTTTCTTTCCCAGCTGTGGTACAACACGAAGAGGCGACGGCGGCTACGACATCAAAAGATATTCTTGATTTACCTCACGCCGCCATTAGAAAGAAACCTAAACAGGTAACAAAACGACTATAGTCCATTTCACATGGGATGGGTACAGTGATATTTGAAATTTGAAGTAAACATAAAATCATTATCTAGTGTGCTCTTATAGTATTTTGACTTCAAAATAAGGCTATAAACATTGACTTACAAATAAATGGACGACGGGTCTAATACAAAAACCACGAAAAAAATGTCCCAAGTCAACCTATTTAAACGTAGTGACATGTAAAGGAATATGAAAAGGCTAAAACGTTGAATTTAAATTGTAATATCATCGCAGTACTGTCTAATTTTGCTTGCTTTGCTGTCAGTCGAACAAACGAAGACTAAAGCGTGAATGACGCTCTGTATACGATTTTAACGCCCTATAAGTTCGGACACTTTTTAGCGCGTACCCGACGTCCATATAATTGTAAGTCAATGGCTATAAATAAGTTTTTTTTCGTATGTATGTTACTCGGTAACCGTTTGCAATAAAACTTCGCATATAGATGTAATTCCACGAGGTTACAGGCATTGGTGAAATTCAGGCACGTGGGACTTGTCAACTTAAGTCTCACGGTAACGGGCGCAGTGGCAGTGCCCCTCAGAGCTTTCGATTTAAAGCTCTAAGTGGCACTGCAACTGCCATGGACAAGCGTGTGCTTACCATCAGGCGCACGATTTATTCGTCCCGTCACTTGATGTTATAAAAAAATCTTCTGAGGTTATGAGAATTCTGTTTAAGAGGGAGCAGAGGAAGAATTCCTAATCTTCGATTTGATTTTAGAGGGGTATATCCACTTTAAAGTTAAAAATAAAATATTGTATGAGTAACTACACGATATATTCAAGCATAGACATTAATCAGAAACATAAAACAATAAAGTTTCCTCGTTAGATAAAAATCACGAAATGACCTCTAATTTTCACATTTTTTCGATTTATCCTCGAAATGCTACAGGTTATTAGGACAAAAATTAGATAATTAATCATATTTATGCATGATCGACAACTGTCACTACGGATTTTTTTTTAATGCCTTTAGTTTTAGAGTTATTCCCTGTCCTGTCTCCTGTCGCATGTCACGCGAACTTCAGGCATATTGTTTCACAAATTTGGGCGGAGCCAACGTCAAAACTTTTTTGGCAAATGACGTTCTTCGCGTTGTGGCTGGTAGGGTTGACTGCCCGAGCATGCTTCATTGCATGAGACTGCATTCACCTTCAATTTGAGGGCTTGTCATTTTTGTTTTTGATTATTGGTAGGTCCTGATGAGACTATATAGATAATTGTGTAACTATTATAAGAATATGGCATGTATCTGTCTGAAATAAATGAATTTGATTTGATTCGATATACAAATTTTGCAGGTTGATATCACATCTCCTTCATCTTAAAGTAATGCATTCAAATTAACACCCTTGATAAGAAATTTAAAATAAATAGTAAGTTTGCCATCTACTGAATAATCACTTTTTATGAGATACGAGTTCAAGAAAGTAAGGCGTCGTTGTTGTTTATAAATAAAATTAAATTAAAATAAAAATCTTTTATTTTCAGACACCATAAGTCCATAGTTTGTTAGTAAGCAATCTTATACTATATTAGTAACAACTGACTGTATGGTGTATTGTATATGAAGTGTACATTAACATTTTCAAAATCGAGATGTCAAAATATTCAAAATACGATTGTAATATTTTGTCGACAACCTTTCAAGTTTTAAAGTAATTACTGTTATTATTTTCTAAACCTATCACACATGCAATGCAGTAAGCTGACGATGTTCATATAGATGGCCGGTTCATTATCGACGCAGTGTGAATGCCATATCGCCTACACTCATATGTCACATTTGATGTGACCTTTACAATCCCCAAACAGGCAAATTTATAAGTTTAGGTTGTCGACGTATTTAATACGATTTTTGTATAAAATGCAGAGGCTGAATTTCATAAATAGGTTCATTAAAGACGCACCAGCTTGTGTACAGAATATTCGATTTTGTATACGAATATTTTGTGTTTTCTCGCAACAATTCTTTGAAGGCAGAAGAGTACACGGTTATTTACAAAAAAAAAATACTTTTTGATAAAAGTCTATATTTTGTGTTTTTCAATGTCTTTTATTCAAACTCAATTTAGTTAGCTTTATCCGCCTTTTTTCAGATAGCTGTTTTAATTTTGCTGCCGTCAATTCAAAATTGATAGTATAATATAACATTCACTGAAATAATCATAATTAAGTCGAAAGTAAAAATTCAAAATACTAAAATTAGCACTTAATAAAATTACAATTAAACTTATAGAAATTACGTGTCATAGGGAAATCCATTACATTACAATTACAACTACTTCTTAGTCATTATTTTTGTGTGCGAGATGCATCTGTCTACACAATGTATTATGATCGGGGAATCATGTCGCCCTGGTATTACCCTTAGGATGGGGTTGCAACTACCCCGTAGTCTACAGAGCAGCGAGTCCGGTTTCTTTCGCATTATGGCATTAAAATCTTCTATATTAGCTGATGTTTATGATGTTAGTAATTAGTCCAGAGACGTTGTTAGTATGTTACAAATAATATCAAACTAAAATATCTTTATAACGGTTCAAATCTCGCTTTTCAGGCTATAATAAGCCAAAGCCTGGACGAAGACCTGACTGCCCTTGTGTCTTCACGGAGCGGCAACAATGGACAGATTCAATTATGGCAATTTCTACTAGAGCTGCTTACTAGTGCTGAGTACTACGATGCCATTAGGTGGCATGGTAAGTACAGTCATCACCATCGTCAACAAAGTACGACATAATTTTTAAAAAAGACTATAACAAAATAGACTAAAAAAACTAAATACAATGAATAGCGACATCTCTAGCCAGGACTGGCAGCTGTGAAGGTATCTAACTGGGTGACGAAATACTTAAGATTTCTCATAGATGGCGCTGCGGCTAAAAAGTCGTTGAAAAACCAATTACAAAAACACGACAACAAACAGCAAAACACGTGAGTTCCGCTGGTTCGTTCCGTGGCTTAGTTGGTATAGCGTCTGGCACGGTATGAAGACGTCGGTTCGAATCCGGCCGGATCGAAGGAATTTTTTCAGAGTATTCGATCTTTGTATTAATAATTATAACAACAGTTAATACAAAAGTAAAACTTATTGTATTAAACAATTGGTGAATTTTTCGATAACAGAACAATAATTATATAAAAAAATACAATTCATTTTTTATTGAATTGATATTCAATTATGATTTGAGAAATTACTCCACTATAGTCTGTCTTTTATGAAGACGGAGTAAAATGACATTTGTACGGTTGCCAGTTTTCATAAAATTTTAAATAGTCATGTAGTTGCTATCGATAGATTGTGAAAGAATGCCAGAAATGTCTGTAACCATTACTAATTTCCGTATTGCCTTCTTCATTCTTATTTTGAGAGCTAGCTACTAGTATCAAAATAATTTTTTATTCATACACATTTTATCAGTAACATGCGGATTTGATTATCTATATTGAATTAAAATGAAAAACTTTAAAATATGTCTACTCTTTGTGTTTTTCATAGGCACAGTTATAAATACAGTGTATGTATGAAATTACAAAAATTTACTATTTAAATGAACTTGTGCTTAGTAATTGGACGAATAATGGGTCGAAGATTATTCAAATGAAACAAGTTCGGCTGTTCATTCCAAAAGCGTGACTAATAAATACTCTATCGATGGTCGATAGAATATTTATCGACTGCAATCACTAGCTGTTCGCAATGAACTGTCATTTTACTCCGTCTTCAAAAAAGACAGACTATAGTTTCAGTTAAAGATCGAACTCTCAGAAAAATATTTATATTTTTTTATCTTAGATTTCGCTGCGGCTAAAAAGTCGTTGAAAACCAAAAACAAAAGTCCGACAACAAGCACATAGAAAAATTCGTGAGGTCCTCGGTTTCGTTCCGTGGCTTAGTTTCTGGCACGGTTTGCTAGAAGACGGCAGTTCGAATCCGGCCGGGTCGAAGGAAATGTTTCTAAGTGTTCGCTGACATCCCAGGTTCGATTCCAGGGCCGGGAGAAATATTTATACGGCCTACATTTAGTGAGTTTGGGTGTAATTTGTGCTTGTCTATGTGTATGTCCATGGCACCCGCGACAATGAGTGTGCGCATTAAAAAAGAATTCACTTTAAAACATTGACTTACAAATAAATGGACGACGGGTCTAATACACAAACCACGAAAAAAATGTCCCAAGTCAACCTATTTAAACGTAATGACATGTAAAGGAATATGAAAAAGCTAAAACGTTGAATTTAAATTGTAATGTCATCGCAGTACTGTCTAATTTTGCTTGCTTCGCTGTCAGTCGAACAAACGAAGACTAAAGCGTGAATGACGCTCTGTATACGATTTTAACGCCCTATAAGTTCGGACACTTTTTAGCGCGGATCCGACGTCCATATAATTGTAAGTCAATGCTTTAAAAGTACTTTTTATCACATGACATATCGATGCCTTAATTTCTGAAACTCGTGTCTTAATAAAGAGTGATTATTCAAGAGATGGCAAACCTTACTAATTATTTTAAATATCTTATCAAGGGTCTTAATTTGGATACATTACTTTAAGGACAGGTTAAAGCCAGTGTGTGAACTTTGTGCTTTAAGATAAGAATTTGAGAAAGTAAGGCAAAGATATGTAGGTTTATTTATTATTTCCTTAAGGACAGGCGTGTCGCATGTTTTATAATTGTTGGCAGGTAATAAATGATATTATTATTATAGGTAGACATGTCCCTTACCATTAAGCGCATGTCGGCGATTGCGGAGAATGTTTTTTGTGAGGTCAGCTAAAGTTGGTTGTGCATAATCCTTTAGGGACAGAAGGCGAATTCAAGCTGCTGGAGCCAGAGAGAGTGGCCCGCCTGTGGGGCGCGAGGAAACACAAGCCGGCCATGAACTATGAGAAGCTGTCCAGGGCGCTGAGGTACTATTACGACGGGGACATGATCGCCAAAGTCTCAGGAAAGAGGTAAGCAACCACGGTGTTATACAAAAGTACAATCCATGTAAAATGAAAGGAATTTTTAATTAACGCACACGAGTATTCATTAGATCGAATGCTCAATTGATCTAGGGTTCATTAGATCGAATGCTTAATTGATCGAGTGCTCATTAGATCGAATGCTTAATTGATCGAGTGCTCATTAGATAGAATGCTTAATTAAATAATGAACAAATAACGCACACACTCATAGCCTTGCATTATGAGTGTCATAGACAACCACAAATTACACAATTACACTCACGTGAGAAATAAATGTAGGCCATAGAAATATTTTTCCCGGCCCTGAAATTGAACCTGGTGACACTGCGTGGCAGACCACCACCCCTAGTGTGCGTTATTTATTTATTAAGCATTCGATCTAATGAGCACTCGATCGATTAAGCATTCGATCCAATGAACACTCGATCAATCGGCCTAATGAATACTTGATCAATAAAATTATCAATTAACGGTTAGCAAACTAATATTTATTTAAATTTCGATCCATGGACTCTTTAAGTTACGCCACAAAGCAGCGATCTCTTTTTATACAGAGTGCCCAAAATAATATTATTGATATTTTTTATCGTTGCAGATTCGTGTACAAGTTTGTATGTGACCTTCGACAACTGCTGGGGTACAGTCCAGCCGAGCTCGCGGAGTTAGTCAAAGAAGTACATTTAGCCACTAAAAAAAATTAATAAATATTATAGATATATGACACTATCAAGCAGGTGGACCGTATAATCTGTTCGGTAGTTTATATAGCGGATTATAACAATAACTGTCCAGTGGGTCATGCATACATTGTGCCTTCACATACATAATGTTCCAATTTGCATTTTTTTAAAGTGGCAGTTTGTCTATACATGTTAAGTTAATCTATGGCTGTGTGCACTAAACTTATGCAACCCACTGCTGGGCAGAGTCTTGAAATGTATTCAAAGGAAGTATGATCCTGTTTTGATGACATTCAAGTGATACTAGATTTTAAATAGCAGTAGAGCTCTTTGTGAAACAGTTCGTCCAAGGAAGTACTGCCACGTTACCCATTTCTGCCGCCAAGCAGTAATGTCAGTATTACTGTGTTCCGCGTTTGAAGGGTGCTGGTGAAATTACAGACACATGGGACTTGTCAATTTATGTCTCAGGGTGACGGGCGCAGTGGCAGTGCCCCTCAGATCTTTGCGATTTAAAGCTCTGAGTGGCACTGCAACTGTTATGGACAGGCGTGTAGCTTACCATCAGGTGCACGACTGTAAAAAAAAGATACGATAGGAAACATTGACTTACAATTATATGGACGTCGGGCCCGCGCTAAAAAGTGTCCGAACTTATAGGGCGTTAAAATCGTATACAGAGCGTAATTCACGCTTTAGTCTTGTTTGTTCGACTGACAGCGAAGCAAGCAAAATTAGACAGTACTGCGATGACATTACAATTTAAATTCAACGTTTTAGCCTTTTCATTTTCCTTTACATGTCACTACGTTTAAATAGGTTGACTTGGGACATTTTTTTCGTGGTTCTTGTATTAGACCCGTCGTCCATTTATTTGTAAGTCATTGATAGGAAATCCAAATATTTTTCCGGATTTAAATCACGTGTATTTGTTTTTTTCAAACAAACCGACGTTTCGGGCCCTTTACAGGTCCCATGGTCACGGTTGACTGAGGTGGTACAGTCTTCAACCAGTTATGTCTAATATTGATGCAAACCACCCTATTTTGTTCACTATAGTTACAATAGTTGTTAATTAAATACCTTATTTTTAATTTTACAAAGAAAACTATCTAATTTACGCTATATTAAGTTTCACAAATTATTTTATTGAATAAATTTTTCTTAAGTTCAATTTATTATTAATTAATAATAGAAATTAGAATAAACTAAAACATATTAATTAATACTGCAGTCTTATGTCTGTATGGGATTTTTCATTAGAGGAAATACTGGAAAATCCCAAACAGACACCTCAGTAAACCGTGACCATGGGACCTGTAAAGGGCCCGAAACGTCGGTTTGTTTGAAAAAAAAACAAATATACGCGATTTAAATCCGGAAAAGTAGTTTCACTTCCTATGTGTAACAATCGCGAAAATCTAAGAACTCGAAAAGATACGATCTAACTTTCTAGCTTTAAGCACAAATGCTGAAAACAGTGCTCGTCGATACGGCACGTAACTTTCCTTCGATAACTTTACGTTTGTAGCCTTTGCCGGTCGAGAAGTACAATCGACTTACTGACCTCCTAGCCTACTATTTGGTTTTGATTGCCTACTTAAGCATTCAACAGAAAACTGTAAAGGAATTCCAGCTTTTTTGGTTACAATTTGTATTTTATGTAATGTAATTAAAGACCAAATTGACTTAAAAAGTTGCCTCATTCATTAACGATGCAAAAAGGAAGTCATACAAAAAATTATTTCACGACTCAACGTTATTTTTTTAAGGCTCAATTTACGTTACAGCGGAACTGAATAGAAGCGAATTTTTGTAACTATATTGCACATGGCGTAATGGACTCTATGGTCAATTGTGTAGCGTACAAACTAGATACGAGAAAAAATTCGACGAAATACTACAGCCCCAAGGTGAAGTCGCGAGAAAGCTCGCGAATTCTCGATTCTAACACCTTCACACTGACACGTCGATCGCCTTGCTCAATACTCTTCGGAACAAGGTCCGTGACGCCGATGTGCTCACCGAAAAATTATATGATTATGAATTTTTTTAAAATAACTATCTGATATGACCATAGTGTTACTTAATATGATTGATTATAGTACATTATCGCAGAGGCCGGGAAGCAAGGGATTGCTGGATGAGTACGAGTTACGAGGACGAGCGCCAGCGAGGCCTTGTATTAATACGAGTCAAGCAATCCCCGTTCCCGCAGAGGCATGTATAGTATTTTTCTCAAACAATGCGAGGAAATAATAAAAGACTAAAGAGAGGACGATTTATAATATAAATGGTAAAAAAACTTTGACTAACATTAAAATTTATACAATACAATTGCTATAAGAAAATGTTATTGTTTTTCCAGGCACATTGTGTTTGAGTTTATCTATTACTGTATTTTTGTTATCGCTCTTCTCACTAGCACTTATTTTCGCGTACAAAATTCCAAAAAGACGAAAAAACAACGGAATACCAAAACACTTTAGTTTAAATATTACCGCCATTACCTTTTTTTTAAGTAAGCTGTACAGGTAGGTAGTTTTAATTCTCGCAATTATGAACACTGAGCAGTTAGCAGGTAGATTTAAAAGTTTAGAGAAGAGGACAGTAATGGATTTTCATATTTACTTTGCAGGGAACAAGTCGCATGGTCCATAAATGGCAAACTTTCCGTGTTCGGTTTTGAAAGTAGGTAATGCAAACATTTCCGAGCACGTTTGAGAAAATATTATTCCATTGTTTTGTTCTTTGTTATTGTTATAATTTTATGTATTGACTTGTCCTTAGGACTAGCATTGTGAGTGCTTTGAGTCATACTGTAAATTTATAATGTATATTTTGAAATAAATAACTACTCAGAACTAAATAGAAGGTTACGGTGAGGTCAGTTATCTTATGATATCGACTGTACTGTGAATTGAATACCCTTTGCTAAAGAGGTAATTAAAAAAATATGAACTGAAAGTTGTATTAAAATAAATGTAAATAAAGATGCTTATGTTATGTACAAAATAAACATTTATTACGTTTTAAAGTTGTTTTATTACATTGTAAGCATATAATTAAATCTAGTTCCTATGTTATTAATACAGTATGGAGAACAGAAAGAATTTATTTGAACAAGCAGTTTCCATTTCATCAGTGTTTGAAATGATAATTATGATTGATAATTATCACAATAATTATCTTGATAAAATACCTTGATATTTATCAAATTAATTAAGACAAGAAAATAATCATGTTTCGTAAACGGTAAATGTATGTATGTGTACTATGTTGTTTCTTTATGGAATAAAAAAATATTTCTTTCTTTCTACCGCTAGCATTGTCGTGTCATGTGTTTGTATTCTATTCTATTTCCTTAATGGCGGCCGCTAGGCTTGGGCCAGTGTCAGCTTTGACATGTGTTTGTATCCAAGACATGTACATACGTGTCAATGTCAAAAAAGTAACCAACTTAATTTTCTCGCTGTTTGTCATTGATACCCAAAATTAAAGAGACAAAGATAATTTCTCGGGTACCTAATTATCAAGGAAAATAAATATCTTGATAATTTCGACCCTGGTTTCCATATGCTTTTACTTACATTTTTATGCTTAGAGAATGCTAGGAAATAATAAGTATAAGGTTATTTCCGCTAAAAAGTCTAAGGTTATTTCCGCTAAAAAGTCTCAAGAAATCACACTTTTAATTTATCGGCGTCACCAAATAACATTAGCTTAAATATAGGCCTTAAATACGCCTACTAATTTGTTTGACGCATTTGTTTGACAAAATCACATTTACACTATGGTGTCTAGTTTCATTAGCAAAAGCATTGACTTACAATTATATGGACGTCGGGTCCGCGCTAAAAAGTGTCCGAACTTATAGGGCGTTAAAATCCTATACAGAGCGTCATTCACGCTTTAGTCTTCGTTTGTTCAACTGACAGCGAAGCAAGCAGAATTAGACAGTACTGCGATGACATTACAATTTAAATTCAACGTTTTAGCTTTTTCATATTCCTTTACATGGCACTACGTTTAAATAGGTTGACTTGGAACATTTTTTTGCGTGGTTTTTGTATTAGACCCGTCGTCCATTTATTTGTAATTCAATGAGCAAAACGGTCTCATCGCCAGTCACGTGATCTGTCAAAGTGACGTTTGATCATTTCCCGCATAAAGCTTAATTTACTCTGATGCGGAAGGGAAAGCAATCGAATTTTCTAACCATTACGTAATCAACTTTATTTCAATGATATGACGTACAAATTAGATATGAGCCAAAAAACAGGTCACGCGCCTTCCGAAGAATTTTCGAGAATTACCGCAGCTACCACTAGTCTTCGCAAAATAAGAGGCATCTTTGGACACTTGTTATTGCAACATAAATAGGGATGTGAACTAAACATATCGGTAACCATATTAAATGACTCTCATTCTCATCAATTCGCATTTTTATGAGTCTGTGACCGTTTAGATTATCTTTAAGGTCATTGGTTTTCAGTTCTACAGTTCAGAACAATTAATATTTATTTAAGCGATATAGACTAAAGTAAATAATAAGTACCTAGGTAAATATTATAAAAATGATCACAATGACAAACAGTGGTTGTTATTATAGTGTAGTTATATTCAACAAAGTTCACAAGGACATCTGACAACTGCCTCCGTGGCCGAACGGTTACCATGCCGGACTGTCACGCAGAGGTCCCAGGTTCGATTCCCGGGCCGGGAGAATTTTTTTTTAAAGAAAATTGAATCGTCTCGGTGAAATTCGGCTGGTTACAACACTATTATTAAAAAAAGCAGATTGAGGACGCAACTATTTTTAACACGTTTCGGACTAACTCAGAATTGCATTTTATTTAGAAATTCATGCGAAAATGACACTTGAAATATGTTCTAAAATTAATAAAATAATGCTTCACTAAAATAAATTATTTTTTTCTTAAACCCAATATCTAAGTTAATAATTGTTTGTATACCGTTTCGTTGATTAAGTTACATACTATCGTCTTCCTTAGCAGCCAAATAGGGCCTCTTACATTATGACGGCTATAGTTTGTATGTTACACAAGAATTCTCACATCTACCAATATACCGTATTGCATTTATACACATAATGTTTTTATGTTACGTAGGATTTCGTTAACACAATGCGCTTCCATCCTGTTGCACAGCAATGTATGTAATTTAAACTTAACCATTACCCCTTTAAAGGACATATCTAACAGCGGAGTTAATAAAAGAAAATAAACTCCACCAGAAATATGCATATAACGCTGTAACTATCAAATTTAAAACGAAGAAGAAATGTTGTTTCTTCACAGCGTAGTCTGTACCTGTAAAGTGAAAAAACAGTTTTTTTTAGAATGTAGTTTGTGTTATAAATTATCCAACGTCTTAGCCTGAGGTTATTTATTAGACAATTAGTTTTTTTTTTCCGGTTCACAAAACTGGATACAATTCAAATTTTAGATAAAAGTGTTCGGTTAATATTATGTTACAAGAAGAATGTATCCTACTAGACGTGAACACAACATGCGAATTGAGAAAATAAATACTTAAATAATAATATTAATTAAATTACAGTGATTATACACTTGTCTCTGAAGAAAACAGGATAACAAAAACACATAGTGCACTTAGCTTTTAAGGCAATTTCTAATTGAGTTCCTAGCTGAGGCCTCAGAACCAAAGAATATGTCAAAATCAAATCTGACATCATTGAGGAGCACATACGATAAAGTGGACAGTGTTGAACAAGATTCGTCTTACAATTAGGAAGCGAGAAAGTTTTACGATTATGTAGGCGGCTACCGGGACGGTGGACTGACACAAGTACAAGAAAAGCATAAAAATACTAGAAAGTAAAACTAGAATTAAATTATACGACTAAAATTGTGTCCCCGCGGCAAGGTGCCCAAAATGCTCTACATCAGGGTTTCTTAACCTTTTTGTAGTCCTGGACTCGTCTCAAAACGTCTCGTCTCAGAAATATGACAGCAACGCTAAGCCTGTATATTACGATAAAGATTCTTATATACTCTTAAAGAAACCCATGACAGATAAAACGAAAAACATTTATTTTGGACCTTATTTAGTGTTAGATTTATATATGTTACAGAAGATTTTAGGTTGTGAAATATTGAAAAGCGGTAAGGAAGATATTGTACATAAAAATCATACGAAACATTTTATTTCATAAGTATATTATTATCTTATATCGAAGCTCATGCATTTTTTTAAAGATTGTTGTGTTTAATCGAACAAGTATTTAGGCAGGTATAATAATAAAATCATATAACGAACTGTAAAAAAAATGTAATTTGTTTCTTTTTTTTCAAATCACCAAGGGTGATGTAGCATTACATTATATGTATATATAAAGCTACAAGTTTAGACTCACTGAGACAAATAGAACGCATACTTCCCGATATGGTGGAAGAAAGATATTTATACTGTTGTACGTGGATAGGCTACAAGGCAAAGAATCAAATATGAGAAGACCTGAATGTGGACAATGTAAACGAGTGATCAACGGCCTGCAAAAACTATAATACATGGGGGGATTTTTGTGCATTTTTATGAGATACACCCTGGTCAATTTCCGCGGGAAGTAAAAAATGTTAGTAATTAAAATAAACAAGATGGCCGCCATACAAATTTCAAAGCCTCCTATCACGGAAACTATTAGAGATAAGTAGGAGGTCCTCGAAGGAATGTCATAGAGGGTAACACTGATCAACTGCCTGGGTTAAAAAAATTCAAGATGGCGATGTCAAAATGGCGGCTGAAGAAAAACTTGCTTCGATCCGGCTGAAAATTGGCATGCGAGGGTCTTTAGGAGTCCTTAATCATAATTTCAAAAATTTCTTTTCGCCATTTTTGAATATGGCTGCCATGTGTTTTTTCGTTAAAAATAGCTGCCGACAGAGATTTGCTCTGATTCGACTGAAAATTGGCAGTCTCTAGGAGTGCTTGATAATAATTTGTGATCAAAATTGGTTTTTCGCCATTTTTCAATATGGCTGCCATAGAAGTGGTTTTTAGCCGGAGATGAAAATTTGCTCCAATTCGATTGAAAATCGGCATGTGGGGGAGTCTATGGGTGTTTAATAATAATTTGCGGTCAAAATTTATTTTTCGCCATTTTTCAATATGGCTGCCATACAAACTTTTTGGCGGCACATAGTAATTTGCTCTATTTCAGCTGAAAATCGGCATGTGGGGACCTCTACGGGTGTTTAATTATAATTTGCAGTCAACATTTACTTTTTGCCATTTATCAATATGGCCGCCATTAAAGAGCTATGTTAATTTGTTTAAAGTCATAAGTGCCGAGGCTGTAGGCCGAGGGCGAACCGTCCGTACGCCACCTTACGTAGGTAGTATACGGGGACTAGGTTCACAATTGTTCAAAATGTAAGGCATACTTCCCGATGGAGTGGGAATAGTATCTTTATACAACTTATAGCGTTATTGTATCTCGACCGTCTCTCTGTTAGATTCTTTTTTATTGGAAGCTATGCCAAAACGAGAAGTATTTAGGAAAAAAATGCCAGACAATCACTTCAAATTTCTGGTCTCAAACTAGTAATTTCCTATACTATGAGCACAAGAGTAACGATAATTCTGAAGGCAATTCCCGGAATACCCTGACCAGGACCAACTTAAAAATGTTTTTTTCATAAATTGGCTTAAATAAGATTCTGGAACCTCCTCATCAAGCGCCCATAGTATACTAATCACTGTGCCACCGAAGAGCATAAGCACACCCCGTAATCTGAAAGCAACCACGCGCCGCAGGCCGAGCTCGACCCCACCGTAGGTGGGGTATAGGGCTCGTATATTATATACGTGTAAGCAATTAGTATATGTATTCCCTCATTTGTATAACCAGGCAGTAATAAATCATCTTTGTAACCAGAGGCTGTCCTCACCTATATGTATTTAAAGCATTAACATTTAACAGTATTTTGAAATACCTCTTATTCTTACTCAGTTTCATTGTTTTGACAAAACCCTGAAATTGTTCACAGAGGTCTATAATATTACCCTTTTGAACATTGACTTACAAATAAATGGACGACGGGTCTAATACAAAAACCACGAAAAAAATGTCCCAAGTCAACCTATTTAAACGTAGTGACATGTCAAGGAATATGAAAAAGCTAAAACGTTAGATTTAAATTGTAATGTCATCGCAGTACTGTCTAATTCTGCTTGCTTCGCTGTCAGTCGAACAAACGAAGACTAAAGCGTGAACGACGCTCTGTATACGATTTTAACACCCTATAAGTTCGGACACTTTTTAGCGCGGACCCGACGTCCATATAATTGTAAGTCAATGCTTTTGAACATGAAATATTTGTGATTCAGGGTTTTAACTAAACTATTCCTGCTTAATACTTAAACGAAAGAAGGAATAATATTCAATTCGATAAAACTTTGAGGAACGTAGTATCTCATAAAATTACTCTATACTATAGATTACCATTCAATGAAAAAAATATCCCGAAAAAGGTTATTACCTTGGAATAATCGTTTTTGTTTTAGAAATAAATATTTTTAAAATACACTTAAGTAAGAATATCCTGTTCAACGAACGACGACGTCTTGACAACTACAGCTTCGTGTATAATACTGAATACGACTGTGTTGCTCAATGTTTGGGGTCAAAATGTGCAAAAAGTTCTTTTTTTTTTTAGATAAAATCAAGTGACAAAACGAACAAGTCGTGCGCCTGATGGTAAGCTACACGCCTGTCCATAACAGTTGCAGTGCCACTCAGAGTTTTATATCACAAAGATCTGAGGGGCGCTGCCACTGCGCCCGTCACCCTGAGACCTAAGTTGACAAGTCCCATGTGCCTGTAATTTCACCAAAAGTTCAGAGATGTCCTGCCTCCCGCGTCATTTCACGTCGAATTATTAGAATACCTAATTCATTAGAAAGAGCTCAATTTTTTCAATAGGATTGCATTTTAAAATATAGAGTCCAAGTTTTCGAGTTGACTTCCTGTTAGTGAAAGTCAAAGTCGTAATAATTTATGCCATATGTAAAATTTTTACACTTGAAAACGTCATTTTTTAAGCTACTGCACGTTCACTACACTGACCTCCTTGACAAGAACGAGCAAGAAACTCTAGGGATTGCTCTTTTCAAATAAACTTAAATGCTACGGAATACACTTTTGAATCATAATTGTGTGTAATCTAGACTCGTGTTGTCTTTCCATACGTTTTTATCTAAAACATACTTTGCAATTTTGTAATATGACTTTTCGATTAAAATACTTTTAATGTAAGTTTTAAACTTAGGAAATGATAATCTTAATATGTGCTCCGGAATCTTATTGTAAAAACGTATACAGTTCCCCATAAACGAATGGTTTACCTTAGTTAAACGAAATCGTGGTACCATGAGTTTGGACTTAGTTCCAAGGTTAATATTATAGATATCTTCATTCTTAATGAAATTGTGTATATTTTTTACGGGCATACAAAATATTTGTTCATCCAAGGTAACGATATTGTATACCAATTTTTATAAAATGCATTTGTTAAGTTAGGTAGGTAAGAGACCCTGCTCCACATTATTTTTAAAAAACAGCGATACATTTACTAACCTGTTAAACCGTCCTTTACGATATACTTTCGCAAGCCCATTGACCATATCAAAATATATTCTTTCCAGTGTAAACTGGTTATATCGCAGTTAAATATAGCGCGATCACTCTCTGATGATCTTTGAATCATCTCTTGTGTGTTCCCATCCTTGAAACGCCATTCGTGTGTTGTAAAATATGAGAAAAAATCAAACATCTTGTACGCTTTTGTGTAGAGTTTTACGAATCTGTAAAAATAAATGTTAACTTTAGTTCGCATTTTTTGAAGATGGTAAAAATAACATTTGCAGGGTTGCCAATTATTCACGACTCGCTTTTCGATCGGACGTCATCGTCATACTTGAGCCCCTTCGAGACCTTGGACGTTCCAATATGTCCGAAACGTCGAGGTAATTAAAATATGTTTTTATACACGATTAAGTCCCGAAGATAATAGTTATTTGTTATGCAAGGCTGCAATGTTGTTCTTTGACGCGAGTGCTCGTACTGAAACCTGAGCAAGCAAAGGGTAGCGAGTGGTTTAATAATAGATTCCAGAGCATAGCGAGGGTTTCAAGGCACGAGACGCAAAACAACTTTGCTGCCGAGCGAAACATACTTACAACTTCTCACGTCACTATAGCGAGGAAAATGGTAGATAACTATTACAAATCTGTTTTAATAAACAAAATTAGTTGTCGTTGTTGATTTAATGTCAACAATAGTAAGAACAGAATATACCAACGGATTTATGTTACATAAACAATGTACGGCAAATCGCGTAGTTGAACGTATTATTTATGTTTTTTTTTTAATCGAAAGAAAATGTTAGGTGCACCGTAGCCCATCAAGTTCGAATTTCAAAAACCTTCCGAGCTAGTGAGGTGAAATGTCTTTTTTTTCCATTTTTTTACGTTTTCTACTGTTTGAAATTTTTCAAAAAATTACCCAACGCTACGTAGCCGTGAGACGTATATGTGTGCGTGTGTGGCTGTGTGTGTGCGCGCATGCGTCCGTGTGTGTTTGATTCATTACAAGCAGCCATTATTTTGAAAAATAAACATTTAGAATAATTTCAGTCTGGCCATTCAGAGCCCCGATTCTGCTAATTTTCCTGAGACCAGAAGTAATTGTAACTCCATTGTGACTCCACTGAGGTTAGGTATGTGCAATTATAACAATATTTGTTATTCTGCTAAAATCTAGTTGCAATGGCGGTTGAGTCTAAACAAAGTGTCAGTGGAATAGAATTGATTCATTCATTTCATCCATCCGAGTATATATTAGATATAGAGACGAAATGTCATTTAATTTGTTTGAAAACTATTCTGCCAAATCATTACAGTGACAACTGCGCTCCGATTGGCCAGCCCGAATTCGAAACAATTGACGGGTGTCGTCGTTTAATTGCAAAATTACATATTTTTTAATTACCGATAAAATGTGATTCCGTTTGTTTTGTAATTAGATATTTTGCTGTTTTTCCCGCAACACTGAATGGAACAGCCCCCCATTGTTAGAGATATTAGGGTAAGGTTGCTACTATTGGACCACTTAATTTTGAACAGGCCTAAATTTTAAATCACACAATGTAAACAGAAAAATATTCGAAGTTTAAAAAGGTCTTGAATTCAAGTACGTGGGGCGCACAATAAGTTTCCGGAATGAATAAGAAAAAATACTATAAATGGTCAGAATTGAATTTATTGTTTCTCAAAATATTCTCCGTTAGCGTTAATGCACTTTTTCATACGAATGAACCAATTTTGAAAACATTTATGCCACTCCTCCGTGACAATCTCTAAAACATATTTTTCATACTCTTCGACAGCCTCTTCAGGAGATGAAAATCGTTGACCGCGTAACTGGTTCTTAATTTTTGGAAATTCATAAAAGTCACAAGTTACCAGGAAGGGACTGTACGCGGGATGGCTCATAAGGTCAACGTTGTTCACCTTCAAAAATTCATTTTGTCTGTCTGTCCGTGTGAGAACTGGCTTTATCGTGGTGCAAGATGATACGGCGTTTACGGTTATTTTTACGGAATTTCTCAATAACTTCCGACAAACAAATGGTCGTGTACCAATCACTATTGATGGTACAACGATTCTCCAAAGCAACAGTAGCCACTTGTCAGTTTTGTTAAAAAAAGAAGCAATTATCCGCTTAGAGGCATTTTGCACGCGCGCCACTTTGGTTGGTTTCGGCTCATTTCGAAAGACCCAAACGCTTGATTGCTGCTTTGTTTTGGGATCGTAACTATAAATCCATGTGTCGTCATCTGTTACTATGTCCCACACCAAATTTGACGCCCCTTCGTTGAAATGAAATGCCATGCTTACACATGGCATTGCACCAAGTGACAAGATCCGTTGTTTGAGCCTCTATCAAATTGTGCGGGATCCACCGAGAGCGCAGCTTTTTCACACCCAAATGTTTGTGTAGTATTGATTTAATTTGACTCATGCCTATGTCTAAAGATGCCCGAATCTCATGGTATGTCACATGCCTGTCAGTTTTGATCATACGGCGCATAGCATCGATGTTTTTGCTGTTCACAGCAGTGGACGGGCGACCATCACGAAATTCGTCACTGAAATTCACACGACCGCTGTTGAATTCTGCAAACCAGCTATAAACAGTCGTCTTGCATGGTGCTTCATCGCCAAAAGCAGTTTCGAAGTCGAGCGAAGCTCCGCTGAGCTGTTAAATTGCACTTAAAGTCGTAGAAAATCATACTACGAAAATTTTCACGGGTTAAATCCATGGTGATGTAGACAACCAATTTCTAAAATGACACCACAATGTAAAAACAAGTGACAGTCAGATGAAACAAACTGTATTCTATAGCCAGAGTCCCATTTTCAAATGTTGTAATTACTTTTTAAATATTGTTTATGTAAGTGACCAGTTCCGGAAACTTATAGTGCACCCTACGTACTTGTAGATATCGCTACAGGCTTCTTTTTACTAAGCATTATTAAGCATTGCTCTACAAAACAGAAAAATAAAAACATGTGACGGTTGCCTTCTTTATACCACCGTCACTTTAATGGACCACTCAGTTGCCATCATTAGACTTAAAAGATTGTACCTACTGGTTCAATCAAAGGGTTGACTGGCTCTTAAGGAAAATAAAATGTATTTTTAATTTCTTTAAATCGGTCTTTATTATTAATAAGAATAATTTAATCAGCAATTTAGTCTTCAAATCATATATATTTAAATAATAATTACAGACTATGTAAACGACGTGCCGTTGCCCGCCATTGAAATGCGGAATATCAAAAAAATGCAATAGCAATTGGATAGTACTATAATGGCTAGACTCGGCAATGACAATCCACTAACTCTTAACGTTTAGCAAAATATCAAACGTACAGTATCCAGTCATTAGGTCACCGAGGACCTTTGCGATAAGGCCGATGTGGAATGCCAGGGCGCTGGCTGTCCGTTGCAATATGTTGGCTCGCAGGTTTGCACGATGTACAGATGATAACGCTTTTTAAAGCATAGGTATTGTCAGTATTTTTACACGTGCAGCCTATGGGTCAGTTACACACGGCGGACATACGGAGCACTGCGCATCCAGTACAATAATGATGATCCGACTTCCACCTTTCTTTAACGCTTCAACCATGTTTGCTGAGGTTTCTCAGTCATGTAGCCGATTTCTACGCTATCATGCAAAAGCGTAGTGCGTCGCTACGCCGTCGCATGCGTCTCAGTACGAACAGCATCCTGAGCTCATTAGTGGAAAGATGGGAGTCCCCAATGCTGGGGCGGTGGATGCGCCCTGCACACTGTTGCCAATGCGCAGCCAGTTGTCCTAACATTGGCTGGGTACGTTATGATCCCATCTTAATACCTATAATTTTGTTTTATTTTATTATTTTAAACCTAACACTAGCTTAAGTATTTTTCTTTAAAAACAAATATTATGGATGAATATGTCTGAAATAAATGGATTATTATTATTTTATAATTTTCAATTTTATAATTTTCAATTTTGTAATTTTATATTTAATGTTGTATTCGTGGTTTATTTTTAACCGACTTCAAAAAAGGAGGAGGTTCTCAATTCGACTGTTTTTTTTTGTTTTTTTTTTCTTTTTTGTATGTAGGTATGTTACGCGATAACTCCGGTATTTGTGAACCGATTTTCATGATTCTTTTTTTGTTGTAAAGGGGGTATTTCCATAGTGGTCCCATTTCATTTTGAAGAAAATCATCCATCTCAAAGGGTGGCTGTTCATGCATGAAGATTCACTTTTATAAATAGCGCCTAACTTAAATTTAGGAGCAATAACTTTTAGCAATTATTTAGTTGATTTTGCTATTTCTCCAATTCAAGACGTTTTTCTCTCGATATACTTTGAGTAGTGTCGTAGTGAGAACCTATTTTTATTATCTCCAGGGTCAAGTCCTGTATAGTGGCGAACTAGGGGATATTTCAATGAAACTTAATTCCACGTACTTTTGAGGTCGGTTTTTTTAGTACTCTGTACTGAGATTATTTGGATTTGATTTGTATAATTATTTTGTTTTTCATTTTTTATTTGTTTCACATTATCTTATTTTATTGTAATTTTAGCATTTGAATAGCATACTAACCTTATTCCTAAGTTCTTTACTAACAAACTATGGATAACTGTCCGAAATAAAGTATTATTATTATTATTATTATTATTATTATTATTATTGACACTCTATCCACACAGCTGGGGTGATTAAAAATTAGCAGACTTCGGGCGCTGACCATGAGCTGTAAACAGTCACCTACCTGCGATTCTGACCAATGCATAAACAGACCCCGTCAATCACATAAGCTGGTATGTAATGCAACAGCCAGAACATTATAGTGAACAACCATTTGTTAGGTACGTCTATGCCGTAGCAGTACCATACTGCTTTTGGAGAGGAAAGACTGCGGGCTTCATTACGGTAGATATCGCCGATTGCACCTGAAAAAAGAAATAGATCGTGAAGCCGCTATAGAAGGATTATTTCATGTAGCAGTAGAACTCCTTGTAAAAGTGATCGTCCAGGGAAGTACTGTCACCAACCTATTTCTTATTCTTATTTATAACAGTTGCCACTCAGAGCTTTAAATCGCAAAGATCGAAGGGGCACTGCCACTGCGCACATCGCCCTGAGACATAGCTTGAAAAGTCCCATGTGCCTATAATTTCACCAGCACCCTTACCCTTCAAAACCAGAACGTAGTAATGCAGAGCTCTACTGCTACGATATCTATTTGCCACGTTTTATTAAAGTCGGTTGCCGGAAAGTGCGCGAAACTGGGTTCATCTCCTAGTTTGCCATTCCTAGAGGTGGAATATTTATTCAAATTTAAATGGGACCGCTTCTGAGGTATCCTCTTTCCAACAAAAAAAGAATCACCAAAATCGGTCCACAAATCGCACTGTCAATACGATAGTGTATTAACTCAAAAAGTCTATTTTTTCAGAATCGATGAAAAACGAATTGCTCACTTCCAGCGAAATATTATTAAAATTTATGTATTTATTACAGACATCTAAACAATTCCCTACTTGACAAGTAAAAGGAAAAAATAACTTAAGAGGGAGCATGCCAAAAAAGTTTTGACGTTGGCTCCGCCCAAATTTGTGAAACAAATATATGCCTGAAGTTCGCGTGACATGTGACAGGAGATGTTGAATTTTGCGCATGAAAAGTACCAAATTCGTTTTAGCGGAATAACTCTAAAACTAAAGGGTTTAAAAAAATCCGTAGTGACAGTTCTCGATCATGCATAAATATAATTAATTATCTAATTTTTGTCCTAATAACCATTAATAACTAGCATTTCGAGGATGAATCGAAAAAATGTGAAAATTAGAAGTCATTTCGTGATTTTTATCTATGGAGGAAACTTTATTGTTTTATGTTTCTGATTAATGTCTATGCTTGAATATATCGTGTAGTTACTCATACAACATTTTATTTTTAACTTTAAAGTGGATATACCCCTCTAAAATTAAATCGAAGATTAGGAATTTTTCCTTAATATTTTTTAGAAACTTATGTATTAAGACTGTTTTATCCAGAACTAGTTCGCAAAAAGTTTGTCTCATTTTGAGTTAAATAGATTTATTTTAATTGTTTCTTACAATATTTTAACAGCAGTTTTATATTTATAATCAAATTTTACGTTCAGCAATAGTATAACTTCAATTTCACATATTTTGAGTTACAACACTATTGTAATAGCAGTGTGAAATGTTAGTTATCGCGTAACATACATACAAAAAAACACAGTCGAAGTGGGAACCTCCTCTTTTTTTTGAAGTCGGTTAACAACAAACACCGGTGGTATTTACCCCAAGTAATACTGTTCCTAGCACTACAAACAGTGTAAATCTTCTTTTCTCCATTAGCGTGCGCCGTTTGATGCGCAGCTACGAGAATAGCGTTGTTCACCAGGTCCGCTGGCACCAGATCCACCTGAATCTTCGGATCAGCAAAGTTTGTGTGCAGTAAGCCCAAGCCAACGCCTAGAATCAGCTGTGGAATAAATTTTAAATACAGTCCGCTTCACGATCGTCATAGCGTTCAAACTTTCTCAAAAGAAAAACCGACTTTATTACTTAAAAAAAAGGACTTTAAAATTGGAATTACATCTATTTGCCAAGTTTTATTGGAATCTGATGCCGACAGATGCGATTATCTGTCGTCACATTTTATTGGTGACGTTTTATTTACCGTCAGACGACTGTCGTTCTAGCTCTTCCCATTGTCATTGTCAGACAGTCTGTTGTAGTAACGTCAAAAAAGTTGTGAACAACAGTTATTCATGATGTTCTATCTGTGAACAACTACATTTAAGGGCGCGTTCGTATTATGTCGTAACGTTTGATTTATCGGTGGACGACTGTCGTGTTTAGCTGTTCCCACTAGGTCGTGACGACAAGTTATCGTTTCACGGCAGCCGCCTTGTCGTTTGCACGACGAAGTTGTTTCATGCACTGCAGTCGCTTCTATGTTCTTTTGGAAGCCAGTAGTATGTGTTCGCTCCCGTGTGAAATGGATGAAGATTTTTTTTTTTTTATACATGACAGGCAAATGACTCCACTCCAGCTGATGTTAAGTGGAAAGTGGTATCCAAACGCGAAGGAACCTAGTGCAGCGATGGAATCCTCACTGCACTAGCCGCCTCCACCCTGCCTGCCTACAATATGCCTCTTCACGCCTCGTTTGAAGGACCCCATATCATAAGAGGGAGGGAAGACATGTGCCGGAAGGGAGTTCCATTTGTCAACCGTGCGGCAGAGAAAGGAGCCACCGAACCTTTTAGTACGCGATGGAATGCGGCAGGTAGTGAAACGGTGACTACGAAGGCCAGCACGCGTGCTTCTGAGCAGGAACGGGGAAGGGGGGATGAGGTTGAACAGATGAAATTATAACAATGTATTACTTTCTAAAAAGGCATGAGAAGAAGCAAACGAGGAAAAGAAAGTTTTGTGTACATCCAATGTTATTAAAAAGAAGTATGGCATTAGAATTATGTCAAACGTTTGTAGATGAAGTGAAAAGTGATGAGAGAAAATTTTGTAATAATATGTATAATTTTAACTGCCTCTGTAGCCGCACGGTTACCATCCTGGACGCAGAGGTCCCGGGTTCGATTCCCGAGGCGGGAGAAATATTTGTATGGCCTATATTTATTTATCTCGTGAGTTTGAATGTAATTTGTGGTTGTTTATGTTGTGTCCATGGCACCCGCAATACAGGGCTTGCCTAATGCCTAATATGACTGTAAGGATTTTATCCCGATTTAAACCCGGCGTTAACAAAGCGCCGGGTTAAAATCCCAGGCACTTGCCCATTTCTGGTTACGACCCAAAGCTAGTGCAAAGGGAGACGAGGGCGCGGGGTACGATAGGGGAGAGTAGATAAATAAAACGTGACGACAATAGTGGTCGCGACCACCTGTCGTAAGGTTTTATTTATCGTCAGACCACTGTGGTTCTAACTCTCCCCATTGTCGCGACAGATTGTCGTCGTAACGACAAAAAGTCGTGAATGACAGTTATCGATATATGTGAACAACTTCATTTAAATATACAAGCCGCGACACTTTAAACTGCACGACTATCTTTCGTCACGACACAATGGGAACATGCCTTTATACGTTTTACATTACCAGAGCGTCGAAATTTACTTTGATATGGGGAATTCCCTAATTTGCGACCAGATAGTTGTTGTCGCTATTTAGTGATTTGATGAAGCTTACCCCACTAGGGCCGTACGCGCAGCTCATGTCAATCCAACCAGGCGAAGGCTCTCGATATGCCCCGACGACTGAAACAATAAATAAACACATTTAAGGCCAGCCACCGGAGGAGAAACGGGAAAAACTGTTTTGGAAAATCAAATGGTTTAGGTATTTACTGATAAATAACGATCTTACAAATAATATACGATACACCTAAAGATATAGAATGTGCTACTTCGGTACACGATAGGATGTGCTTTATCCGATCATATAAACTCCTGAAAATAGGCTAAAGTAAAAATCTAAAATGAAGTATTTAAGAATAAAATATCTATCGAGTTCTTAGGTTTTCGCGATTGTTACACATAGGAAATGGAACTATTTTTCCGAATTTAAATCGCGTGTATTTGTTTTTTCAAACAAACTGACGTTTCTGGCTCTTTACAGGTCCCATGGTCACGGTTGACTGAGGTGGTACAGTCATCAACCAGTTATGTCTAATATTAATGCAAACCACCCTATTTTTTCACTATAGTTACTAATGTTATTAATTAAATACCTTATTTTTAATTTTACAAAGAAACATTAAATTTATTAAACGTAATTAAAGATTAAACGTAATGTAGCGTAAAGTGGTCATCTAGTGTTAATGTACGCTACAGAGAGCGATCTGTCCGATCATGTGTTCTTATGGTACCACAACATAGAACTGCAGCTTTTCGAGGTAGTTTCAAATACTCGGCCTCAAAGTGCTGGAATAATATTCCACCACCTATACGCAACGAGACATCCAAACCCAAATTCAAAGCACTGTACTGGCAACACCTACTCTCACTTCAAAAATCTGTGTAGTCTGTTTTTATTCTTTAACGTAGTCTGTCTAGAATCGAATTTTGTTGTTGCTTTGATCTATTCTTATTATATGTATAATTATATTATAATACTAATTACATTACACAACATTAAATCCTCTTTACAGTCATAACTTACACCTGGCAGCTGTAATTATATTCACATTTGCTCATGCACTTACATGTCAAACAGGTTATTTTAAATGCACTATTTACACTGTACTATGTATATTATTATTGTCAATGTATAACTTTACTCGTAGTCGTTATATTTTTGCTTTCAAATAACTTAATCCCTCTCGTTGGTTCTGACTGAAAACCAGCGCCTTAGGAAACTTTGGCATATGCTGAGTCAGCGCCGTTTCACTGCTATGACAATCATGTTTTGTTTTTTCTTTTATGCTTAATCTGTATTTGTGTTATATCAGTAAATAAAGTGTTTATCTATCTATCTATCTATCTAAAGGTATTTAATTAATAATTTTTGTCAGTATAATGAAAAATAGGGTGGTTTGCATAATATTAGACATAACTGGTTGAAGACTGTACTACCTCAGTCAACCACGACCATGGGACCTGTAAAGGGCCCGAAACGTCGGTTTGTTTGAAAAAACAAATACACGCGATTTGAATCCGGAAAAATAGTTTAAATAAAATATCTAACTTTGTACATAATTTTATATGGGAATATTTTCTCTTTAAGTACTGCAGAGAACCTACTAAATTTTGTTTTTCAACTAAAGCCCTATAGTTATTACATTCACTTTTATCCCAACATTTGCAAATTGCCTAGCGGTTTATCGACACGTCGCGCTGCCCGCTGCCCGTCAGTCGCCATCGGACGCCTGCCTCTTCTTATTTTATTGATATTAATTTTCAGCGCGCGGATTGCGGGACGCGAGAGTCGACCTCCCACACCTCACTTCCTAAAATCTAGTCTAATAAATATCTAGATACATTGACTTATAAATAAATGGACGACGGGTCTAATACAAAAACCACGAAAGAAATGTCCCAAGTCAACCTATTTAAACGTAGTGACATGTAAAGGAATATGAAAAAGCTAAAACGTTGAATTTAAATTGTAATGTCATCGCAGTACTGTCTAATTTTGCTTGCTTCGCTGTCAGTCGAACAAACGAAGACTAAAGCGTGAATGACGCTCTGTATACGATTTTAACGCTCTATAAGTTCGGATACTTTTTAGCGTGCACCCGACGTCCATATAAATGTAAGTCAATGCCTAGATAGCATTTACTAGGAGACAATATACTACCAGGAGAATAGATCTAATTGTGGTTCTTCACATTGAAGATAATGTGAGTTCTTCAGTGGTTATTCTTACCTATAGCAGGTCTAACAATGCAGACGGGTAACCCGTCGCTCATGGTCCTCACTGCCTCTTCAGCCACGGCTTTTGTGAAACAGTAGGTATTCGGCCAGTCTCCGATGAACCTATTAATAGGATGCAAATGGATTTGTATGAAGTAATATCACACAAGGTATTAACCTTAGAATAATAACGCATAGAACCCTAGTCCGCACACGCTAAGTGAGGCAAATTGAAGCGCGCCCAATGGGCCTACACGAGCGGGCGGGGCTTCAGTACTCAAGGTCAACTTGCACCGCGAACAGATCAAGAATTTTAGCTAAAAATGACGAAATGTGCGGTAAATGAGTGTAAAAATACGTCAGACAAACATAAAATAGATACTAACATCACATTCCACAAGGAAGTAACGCGTTTCAACTTGTATTTTTATATAAATATTCACTAAAACCGAAAATTAACCTACTACTAAAACTAGCCTACATGAATTTGATTTTTGCCTCACTTGTGACAGTTCATTTGATATGAAACTATCATTCTACACGTTATTATTCTAAGGTATTAACACTGTTTTACAAATCATACAATTTCGCAACGAATCTACTTGCTCAGAACAATGGCGGAGTACTCGAGGGGAGTCGAGCGGCGGGAGCCGCATCCTGCAAACAAGCTTAGTTTGCCAGATCGAGCGCTGAGGGTTACCGTGTGCGTTTAATAAAAAAATTTCTGCGTATACTTCAATATGCCATTTATAATTTTATAAACCGTATCACAAAAGCGCTCTTTGTAGTTCTGAACCAAAATTCTATTGTCTACGGTACGCGCTGCTGAGCTGAAAAATTATACATAACTCTACTAATCTGTACACAGAATTATAATGATTTTCAAAAAAAGAAAGTCGTGCTTTTGCTAATTAAAATATCAAATATCGTCGCCTTACTTTCTCAAACTCGTATCTTAAAGCACAAAGTTTTTGAAATGCAAAAAATGGATTGTATATACAAATTTGCAGGATGATTTCATATCATATTTCCTTCATATTCACATACTGGCTACCTATTCTTAAGAGGGAGCATGCCAAAAAGGTTTTAACGTTGGCTCCGCCCAAATTTGTGAAACAAATATATGCTTGAAGTTCGCGTGACATGCGACAGGAGATGTTGAATTTTGCGCATTAAAAGTACCAAATTCGTTTTAGCGGAATAACTCTAAAATTAAAGGGATTAAAAAAAATCCGTGGTGACAGTTCTCGATCATGCATAAATACAATTAATTATCTAATTTTTGTCCTAATAACCTGCAGCATTTCGAGGATGAATCAAAAAAATGTGAAAATTAGAGGTCATTTCGTGATTTTTATCTATCGAGGAAACTTTATTGTTTTATGTTTCTGATTAGTGTCTATGCTTGAATATATCGTGTAGTTACTCATACAATATTTTATTTTCAACTTTAAAGTGGATATACCCCTCTAAAACCAAATCGAAGATTAGGAATTTTTCCTCTGCTCCCTCTTAAAGTAATGCATCTTAATTAACACACTTGATAAGAAATTTCAAATAAATAGAAAGTTTTCCCGTATCCTGAATAATTATAAGATACGAGCTTGAGAAAGTTAGGCGTCGATATGACGCTCTTGTCAAACGCTCGCCTCCTAATTGGTTGAATTGGCTTAAAGGTCTTGCAACCGGGCGTTTTAGGTCAAAACCTAAGCCTTCGCGGTACTTGGCTTCTTCTATTCTATCTCTTTAGTCTTTGTTTTACAGTGTTTGTTTGGCCTTCGTTTGAGTTGTTTTTATGGATTGTTAACAAAATATACATTGAACATTGGTTGTGTTCCATTATTTTAATTTACTCTTTTTTTTTCTTTTTTTTTTTTGACGGATATTTTGCAGTTGGCCGCTGATGGCCTTTACTGCGCCACCGGAGAAAAAGGGCGAGCTGAAGGCTCATAACCCCTAAAATAAACTTAAAGCTAAGTAGCGGGCCTGAGGGCGCCCAAGTGGGCACGGACCTCGGCTCAGGGCGCTACTGGAGACTTCCGCCAGAAGGACGTGCTGTAGGAGAGAATCTACCACTGTACGTGCTGAAATGAGGGGCTCGACGTCCTCGCCGGCGAGGACGGTTGGTGCGTGAGGGACGGGACTGACTAGCGATCTGGTTGGCCTTCAAAGTGGCGAGAGTGATAGGGTCGTCAGAGTCGTTGAGGACTTCCCTTGGCCGACGGGTCCTACGTACGCGGTGGGGTTGTTCCCTGAGGGGGTCGTAAGAGGTTAATTTACTCGTACAAAAAGTATTGTATGCAACCATTACATAATTTGGTCTTAAAATCTCGTACCTATTACTTAGGACACGAGGCAATATTAAAAACAATATTATAGATAAATTACATAACTTACTAAATAAAGCAGAATTTAAATCACAGCCATGTCATGTTTCCCCATTTCTTTACGATTAAATTCTTCATCCGAATGCAAATACACTACGTACTTAAATTTAACAATAGATAACTGAAAAACATCTATAACTAAAGTGTCACGTAAATATTTCGCAGTACAACACTTGTTATAATCTTTATTACTAGTAAGTAACATTTAATAATGATAGTGCATTTATAAGCAATAAATTATTGTTAATAAACGATTACGTTAATTATAACGTATTACGTATTATTATTAAATAATCACATTTTTTTCCATTTTGTGACAACCCTTAGAGTGGTTACACACGGCAATTGCACCGCTACGCTTGCGATTTATAGGAGATTGCATCGACGCGCGACTGTATTGATGCAAACGCGCGATTGGATCGATACAAACGCGTGATTGCATCAATATAACCTGTAAATCCCAAGTGTAGCGATGCAATCGCGCGTTTGTTTCGATGCATTCGCGCGTTTGCATCGCTGCTAAACGTCACCGTGTCTCTTACGTATATCTGCGTATGATAGCGCAAGTACCTATAAGGGCGGTGGTCGCATCAAAGGCGTTGCGCTACTGTATGGAAGATTATTATTGTCATACTGTGTAATATAGTTCTACATAAGTAAAAAGTAAAGATTTTTTACAGTTCTGTAGTGTGGCATGAAATAGGTACGCACTTGTTAGTAGCATCATTCAGTCTGCCCTCATCGATGTGTTCAACCATCTCGATCAAAACATTTGGCGGCACAGGGACGTCATAAAAGTCGTCTGCGACTTCGCGTCTGACGCGACTAACAGTCGCATGAGAGTATGCTGTTGACACGTGAACGAACGATCTGTAAAGTTAACAATAGTGTTGAGTAATTTACGAAATATACACGATAATAGGCTCGTGATTCAGAGGGTTGCCCGTGCTCACCCGTGGCCGCCTGTTCGGGTCCGCCCCGGGTAGGTAACTTCAAAGACGCGGCGCGAGAAGCGTCAAATCGCTTAAACCGTTAAAATACACCCACGAAATTTGGTGAGTCTTCGAAGGTGGGGAGAAGTAGAGTAGATTTTTTTTACTAACTAATATTGTTTATTATTTTTGGTGTAATAATCTTTAAATATGTATTAATAATAATGCAAATTAATAACTATTTGCTTTAAACAATTTGGTTGAAACGATGACGCGCGGAGCGACAGTTTTGTGCACTCTATAGAACTTTCTCGTATACTTGTTCTGGTCGCCCATAAAGCGAATCCTCTAAAAGCGCCGTGACCCGTGGGTCAAGCACTCGACACATACCCGAATACGCGCCGACACACGTGTCGACCCGCGGCTACCCGGACTCGCCCGTGACGCGAGCTCGCCCGTTCACATCAGCGCTTTTGAATACACGGACCGTGGGAAGCGGGCATGAGAAAGATTGTCGCGTGTATTTTTGTGAGTGCATGTGCGTGCACAATGTTTTACATGTCATCTTGTGACGCAGGTGATAACATACATAGATAATTCGTGATAAATACAGGTGTAAATAAATAACCATTTGTTTGCGAAAACAATTTTATCTTGACAGAGAATTCTATTTTCAATTGATTTTCGACGTTATTATAAAGTGACAAAGGGCTAATATTATTAAAAACTTCAATATTTCCTATTACGTGCTTACATCGAGTATATAACCGGAAATAGAGACGAAGTAAGGGTCTTAAATCACTTTTAAATATCAACTCTCGTAGGCACTGAAATCACAAATTAGAAAGCTGAAATAGTATAGCGCCAACAACTGACCTGTGTGTACGTATCCGTATATTCCAAAAATATTTCGTATTTATTAAAGCCGAGTTCAATAAAAGGTAAAGGTAGAGAGATGTATTTCCAATTCGACTAGATTTTTTTAGTATGTATGTTACGCGATAACTCCGGCATTGTGAACCGATTTTCATGATTCTTTCATCTTTTCTGGTTCCATTTAAATTTGAAGAAAATATACCACCAATGAGGGTGGCAACTAGGGGATGAATGACTTTTGAGGTCGGTTTTTTCAGCACTCTGTACTGTTTTTGTAACAAATATAATATCTCTAACCATGGGGGGCTGTTCCATTCGGTGGTGTGGGAAAAATAGCAAAACATCTAATTACAAAACAAACGGAATCACATTTCATTCAAAATTGACGACACCCGTCAATTGTTTCGAATTCGGGCTGGCCAATCGGAGCGCAGTTGTCACTGTAATGATTTGGCAGAATAGTTTTCAAACATGTTAAATGATATTTCGTCTCTATTTCTGGTTATATGCTCTAGGCGTGCGTATTATTACTGTGCTTACTTAAGGTTCTGGCAACTCTTCCCAAGGTTCAAAGCCTCTCTGGTTCCTCGTACGTTTGTGATAGTAGCCACCTTCAGGCTCTCATCGAACCTTGTTGTAGCTGCTATGTGCAGAATCACGTTTATCTGAAATTATACTTCTACCATGATCATAGAACTTGTCAGAATGATGGGTGCAGCGGCAGTACCCCTCAGACCTTTGCGATTCAGTTTTGAGTGGCAAGAGATATTAGAGCCAACGTGAAATGCAATATTGAAAGAGGACGGCCGCGAAGAATGTTCTCAGATTCTATCAAGAATGTTCTTGAAAGGGCTGTGTTGAGAAGAATAGAAAAGATCACAGAGGATAGATTGAACAAAAATTGGTAATGAGCAAAAAAGGTAGTTTTAGTAGGGGTACCTAGAGCTCCTTGTGAAAGACTGCCACCTTACCTATTTCTGCCGCCAAGCAGTAATGTCAGCCTTACTGTGTTCCGGTTTTGAAGGTAAGGTTGCTGGTGAAATTACAAGCACATGGAACTTGTCGACTTATATCTCAGGGAGACGTGCGCAGTGGCAGTGCCCCTCAGATCTTTGCGATTTAAAAGTCTGAGAGCAACTGCTTTCAGGCGCACGACTTGTTTGTTTGCAAAGTGGTGATTGATAATCTCCGCCTACCCCAAGGATGATAATTCCAAAATAGTGAGCATATTTTGTTCGTACCTCTGATTTTCTTGGAATTTATGTGTGAAATTTATTTTCACCTCACAAGCTCGGAAACGGATCTTTCTCATTGAAAATCTAGCGTGGAAAAGGTTTTTGAAACTCTAACTTGAGGATGGAAAAAAATATAGTCTAAGGGTACACCTAACATTTTCTTTCGATGACAAAAAAAAGTTAATGACACGTTCCACTACGCGATTTGTCATGTTTGTGTAATATAAATCCGTTGGTATATTTTATTCTTATTGTAGACATTAAATTGACTTTCTTAACTGATTGTGTTTATTACATTTATTTAATTCGTCGAAGAACTAAAATAATTTCAATAATCACTTAATGACACAAAATAAAAGTAATACAATTGATGAGGTGTAAATTCGGAACGCATCCGAAGATAAACTTCTTCTTTTCATTAAAAAATCTGATGTTTTATAGTTCAACTGTTTTTCTTTCATCTACCATTTTCCTCGCTATAGTGAGGTGAAAACTTGTGTGTTTCGCTCGGCAGCAAAGTTGTTTTGCGTCTCGTGTCTTGAAACCCTCGCTACGCTCTGGAATCTGTTTTTGAGACACTCACTTCGCTCGTAGTTCTATCTTAGCTACCTTCGCTTGCTCAGGTTTCAGAACAAACACTCGCGTCAAATAACAACTTTGCTGCCTTGCAGAACAAATAACTATTGTACTTTATTATTAGCTTTTCGATGAAAAAAAAAACATCATGATGGTCAAAGAAGGTTCACAACCGTCGGAAAACCGCGTGAAGTCCACAACCCGCTGTGACGGTGTGACCTCCTTTCACCGTCATCTCACCTGTTTGTATCGCCTCTCTCCGCTTGTATCCTATCATTTTTTATTTTACACGTATTTAAATTTTAAATTTGAATTGTTCCATCTTGTTTTTGTACCACGGTCACTCCCAGCTCGACCGCCACAACAGTCAGAGCTGTTAATAAGCTAATCATGTAATTTATAAGTCTACACCCTTACTGTATCTATTTCTGTAATTCAATTTCTCGGCTTATTTAGGGGTAAGTGCCTTAATAATAACGTGTAGGGAGTGTTTTATACTGTTATACCTGTTTTTTCACATTTACCTTTGTATTGTTACAGTCTTTTTTAAATTTTGTGGACCGTAAGTTTCCCATTTCATTGCCGTGAACCTGTTCACGGCTAATTAGGGTTACAACCCTTTCACCGCATTGGGTTAGCGTGACGGATAATGGCCTAAATTCTCGCTTGAGAGAAGACTCACTCCAAGCAGTGAGATGTATAAATGGGTTAATGATGATGAAGAGCATATTTCAAGTTGGATCTCTTGGGGTGTACGACAGTAGGTCAAAAACAATCTTATTTCAATGTAAGCTTATAGTAAGCTTATTATAATATTAATATTCGTCATATGACAAACCTATCAACCAAGTATTGTATTATAGCTTGATTGATTTCCCAATATCGTCTATTCCTTACTAAAAATAGGATAATGCCATCTCTTTCGTTTTTGATGTTCCGAATAGTCCTATCGTAATATAATGTTATTTACATTCAGAAAATTGTAACTGCTCAAAACAGAAAAGTACGTAATAATGAAGTATATTAAAATTACGTTCTTTTCAATTATTTTTCCGCATTGTCGTGAAGACAAATAAATAATACAAGCCGAGTCTTGATAGTCACGTTGTAAATTCGGAATTATAGTCTAGTGTCCACTGTTATTGTCGCCAAGGAGCATATAGATGGCGCTGTCATAATTTTGCGAAATAAATATCGCGTATTTTTAACTAACGAGAAATTATTTCCTATGTGCTATTAAATAAAATATAAACAAAATATTGAAGAGATATACGTAAATAAATAAGTTCAACTTAACTTTTACTCATCACAAATCAATATTAAGACAATAAAACTGAAAGTAATATTGTTTCCATTGCATCCATGTAATTATTTTAAGATTGCTAAATTTGACTTAAGAACAATATTACTTTAATGTCAAAGTCGCGTCTTAGTACGAACTAAGTGAATGAATAGTCACCAAGCTGCCAATAAAACATCATAGTTTTAACATTATAATAAGTTTATTTTAAGCGCGTCATAGTACGAAAAGTCAATGTAAGGTTAAAGTAATATTGTTTTAAAAGGTCTAACCCTGAGGAGCAATTGGCGAGTACCATACGCCAATTGGCAATTTCTTTCACAATGGCAAGCATTACAAGTGTACGTTATCGATACTATAAGAAAAAGTTTAAGTATATGCCAAACCTCTTTAGTGATAATGGACCAATCGTCTTCAGATATGCCAAGTTTCAACTCCATAATGTCTCCAGCTATGGCATGCAGCTTGTTGGAGAAAGACGGCTTCTTTTTACAGAGTAATTCGAATACCTGAAATAAAAAAAAATCACTTCCTTAGAAAACATAAGTAAGTACCTATTATAAACAATGGGAGCTGAATGACATTTCTTAAAGTGCTAAGTTGCCTAAGTAATAGTTACAAGATTTCAAGACCTAATTATGTTTTTTTTGTGTAAAGAAAGAGGCAAACGAGCAGACGAGCCACTTGATTGGAGGTGGTCATCGTCGCCCATGGACGTTTGCAACATCAGATGAGCTGCCTATGCGTCGCCAGCCTTTGAGAGACCCGTAAACACGCTTTTTGAAGAACCCCATGTCACAGCGCATAGGAAATACTTCAGGAGGAAGATCATCTTACATCTTGCAGGTTCGAGGATGGAACGAACGAGATGCCCGCGTGGACTTATAATGCCAGGCATCTAAGATGTGGGGATGGACTCTACTCCTTTAGCGGGAGGTACGATGGTAGGCTGTTCCATTCGGTGGTGTGGGAAAAACACCAAAACACCTAATTACAAAACAAACGGAATCGAATTTCATTGGTAATTTTAAATATTAAATATGTAATTTTTCAATTTCTGTCCATTATAACAAAACTCAAGTAAAACTGGTCGGTTTGAAGTGAAACAATTGACGACACCCGTCAATTGTTTCGAATTCGGACTGGCCAATCGGAGCGTTGTTGTCACCGTAATGATTGGCAGAATAGTTTTCAAACAAATTAAAGGATATTTCGTATCTATTTCTGGTTATATACTCGATGAATCAAATACATATCTGATCTCAAACTTGAAAATTTCTATAAAAACCTAACACATACTAGAGCAAAGTCTGTACACCAATCAAAATAACAACTAAATGTGTTATGCTAGTTTCAGATTTACGAAATTGTCAATGGCGCCCGCTTAGATTTAAATTATTTTATCAACGAAGTTTTTCTGCACTCTGCCTTTTTTACATTCAAGTATTTTTGTTGTTTAATACCAACCGGATCTTCTAGGAATTCCTCTAGACGTGCCTCCATAGTTTTCCCTTTCTTTTCCCGTAGGAGGACAAAGATTTTCTTCACGTCGCATGATCTGAAAATGCAAAATATATGGTCATCAGTTACAACTCATATAGGTCTATTGCTGGGCAAGGACTGCGACACACTAGGCGCGTGAACCGTGAAGTGTACCCACGTACCCTTGGTATAATTAAAAAAAAAATTAAACTAAGTGACTGGACGAATACGTCGTGCGCCTGACGATAAGCGACACGCCTGTCCTTAAACAGATGCAGTGCCACTCAAAGCTTTAAATCGCAAAGATCTGAGGTGCCCCACGGACTAAGATGAAAAGTCCAAAGAGCTCGTAATTTCACCAGAACTCTTCAAAACAAAGGTGGCAATACTTCCCTGAATGACTCTTTTACAAGGACTTCTGCTGCTAGAAATTATGATATTCCTATATTCAGACATGTAATCGAACCCAAATAATAATTATTCTCTACTAGCTGTTGCCCACGACTTCGTTTGCGTAAAATGAGTCAAAGCCAAACATTGACTTACAATTATATGGACGTCGGGTCCGCGCTAAAAAGTGTCCGAACTTATAGGGCGTTAAAATCGTATACAGAGCGTAATTCACGATTTAGTCTTCGTTTGTTCGACTGACAGCGAAGCAAGCAAAATTAGACAGTACTGCGATGACATTACAATTTAAATTCAACGTTTTAGCTTTTTCATATTCCTTTACATGTCACTACGTTTAAATAGGTTGACTTGGGACATTTTTTTCGTGGTTTTTGTATTAGACCCATCGTCCATTTATTTGTAAGTCAATGAAGCCAAATAATCTTTATTTCATATGTAAGCAAATTACACTTGAAATTATTATACTGATTAAACTCTACTGCTCATTCGTAAGGCAGATTCCCCTGAGAAGAATTAGTAAGAAACTCTAGGGAGTACGTCAAGTGATCTACCCCTACAATACTATGAGGGGTAGTTGGTCAAAAACACTGAAACATTTACTTTTTACAGATCACATTGAAACAATTTTCTTTGCAAAAGCTATGAACTTTCAGATCTCTTACTTGAGAAGCAAAAGGTGCTTCATATGAATTTCATCCCCAATTTCACGACCTTTAAGATTTATTTTTGTGATAAAAATGGGCCTATGTTATTCTCCTAGGTCAATCAATCCATCAAACAAATCATTTATTGTGTACGCACGTCTAGAAGGTATTAAATGACATTGATGTCAGTCAGTACGTATTGCCAATTTTATGACATGCAATCATTGACTTACAAATAAATGGACGACGGGTCTAATACAAAAACCACGAAAAAAATGTCCCAAGTCAACCTATTTAAACGTAGTGACATGTAAAGGAATATGAAAAAGCTAAAACGTTGAATTTAAATTGTAATGTCATCGCAGTACTGTCTAATTCTGCTTGCTTCACTGTCAGTCGAACAAACGAAGACTAAAGCGTGAATGACGCTCTGTATACGATTTTAACGCCCTATAAGTTCGGACACTTTTTAGCGCGGACCCGACGTCCATATAATTGTAAGTCAATAAAAAAAACTTTAAAAAATCCATCGATACCCTTTTTTTAACAAATCCAAACTAATTTTATAAATGCTAACTTTGTCCCTTGCTTTTTTATTTCCAAACCGCTGAAAAAAATTTTAAATGAATTTTGTTATAGAGATGTATGGGTAATGCCAAACGCAGTCCGGTATTGATTGCATAAAAAAACCGGTCTCAAAAGTTCGAGGAATTACATCTATTTGCCAGGTTTTATTAAAATCGGTTACCGGAAAATGCGCGAAACCGGATTCATCGCCTAGTTTGCCACCCTAAAGGTGGGTATCCATCATAGATACATGATGAAGACGTTACATGCATCATTACAAGAAAACCGAGTGCATATAATTATAAGTCAATGGTTTTTTTATTCAATGTCACGCGATCTTTCACCATGATATTCAATTATTTTTGTGAAATTTCTCTACTATACTCTAGCCAAATTCGATGTAGAATTTTTAATAACAAAACGTTAATAGGCAACCAAGGATGGCATAGGAAAAGAACATTTGTTTCAATGCTCATTATAAAGGTTCGCTCTGCCCACGACCTCCCGTAATTTGAATTTAAATAGGTAAGTAGGTGATTGGGTTATATAGAAGTAATAGTTACCTAACCAATTATTATAAAGTTTACAAAATACCTATTGATACGTATGATAAGTGTTTGTATCCTATTAATATTTCATTTTATATAATAATAATTGATATTAATTTACTACATATTACATCATACAGCAACAATTTCCGATTCTGTACTTGAATTACCACCAGAACTCGAATGTTTGCAATCTCTACCTTCAAATCAAAAAGTTACTAGGGATGACACAGTTTTACAAATAATTAATTACTGGTCATTTTTATATCATTTTTACGTGATTTGCAACTTCTGTTAAACAATATTCCTTATAAACAAGGCTTCAAGATTTAGTATCATCCATAATCTAGTCGAATTTCGTAGGAAAATTTTGAAATTGTGGTAACGGTGAGAGAGTCTGAAATGATAACCCTAAAAATCATATGTTTTTGTTTGTTGACATTTATTCTACATGGAATGGGTAGAGTACAGTTTGTTACAATTATTAATAGAAAGATCGAACACCAATAAAAAAATCCTTCTATCCGGCTGGATTTGTACCAGTGTCTTCTAGCCAAACCTGACGCTAAGCCACGGAACGAAACAACGGAACCTACGAATTTTTCATAGTGCTTGTTGCAGATCTTTGTTTTTTTTTACTTATTTGCCTTAGCACTATCTGTGAGTTCAGTCAACTTTATAAAGTTTTTTCTTATCCACGTTATTGAAGAGTAAAACCAGATGACGCAAGATAACTATTTTCGATGCATCAGTGTTTGGACACCAGCTTATAATAATTTTTATATTGATTACAAGTATATTTGTTACGCAATAAGAGCAACCTGGGCAACTACTATAGGGAAATTACAATATGTTATGTTGTTATTACCCTTCAATGTGTTTACGCCAGTCTCAATGATATTGCATCTATCTCGCGAGTAATTCAAGGCCACCATACGGTTTTCTGCTACAAAAAACACGTAATGAGTCTTATAGATATTGTTCATACTTCACATTGTTTTTTTGTAGCTCTATCAGCGCCATAATTGTATTTTATTTATTTATTTATTTATTTATTAGGCACACCAACAGTTACTACAATAAATCAAGAGTAAGTAATACATTTCACAAACTAATCTAATTGCGTAACCATTTATAGGCGAGCACCTCAAGCAAAAATAAACATGTGTGTATAAATTAAAAGGAAAAAGAAGAGGAAACAAAAAATAACAAAAACAGTTTTAACAATTCTAAGACCAAGAAACTAACTTAAAAAGATATATATATTTTTAAGCAGAATACAAAACGCAACAAATACTCAACCATGTTATCTGGTCGAACCAAGAAAAGTAAGAATATTGTTTCTAAAACCTAGCCGCGAGTCAATAAATATATCGGCATGTTTGGAACAGTCATTATATAGATTAGACATGCGAGCTACAGGGGAGTTACAACCCAGTACCGTTCTACGACGAGGCGGGTGAAAAAGCCTTACATGAGATCTCGGAAGTCTGGCAGGAATCTTAAAATTTAAATTACCAAGCAATTGTGGACAGTCAACCTTATAGCGAACAATCTTATATAGGAAAACCATATCTAAAAGTTCTCTGCGCTTCGAGAGAGACGTTATTTTGAAATGCTCAAGTCTCCTGTTGTACGATTTAAATTTTTTTAAAATATGGCAAAATATGCGTATTAAATCTTCCTGGCTTTGTGTTGTTTATTTAGTATTTGATTTATGTAAATTCATACCTAAATCACATGGCATCATTTCGTCGGCTTACTTTCTCAAACACGTATCTTAAAACACAAAGTTACTGGAATGCAAAAAATGGATTGTATATACAAATTTGCAGACTGATTATTGAAAACACTAACGGTGACCACAATTATTATCTAAACGAGATAAACTCTACTCTTGACCATCTGGCTGCGTGGATGAATAATAACAACTTAAAAGTCAACATAAATAAAACTAAAATTATGTTTTTTAATCAGAGAATGACTCTACCTGACCTAAAAGTTAAATGTGGTGACAATGTTATAGAAAAAGTAAATGTAACAAAGTTTTTAGGTATTACTGTAGATAGGGACATGTCGTTTAAAACTCACTCGCAACAGGTCTGTGCAAAACTATACACGCTTAGCTATGCACTCTACAAATTGTCGAAAACTGCGGACCGCCGAACTGTGGTAATGGCTTACCACGACTTTGTTGGATCTATCCTTAGGTATGGTGTGATTTTCTGCGGTAACTCTACCTACAGAGAAACTATATTTAGAGCCCAAAAGCGATGTGTCAGAGCCATATGCAACATTAAATACACTGACAGTTGCCGATCATTTTTCCGTGACCTAAAATTATTAACCTTCCCATGTCTGTACATCTTTGAGGCATCTATTTTTGTTAAGACGAAGTGAATTTCCAGAAAAAGTAAGTTCACAAGCGTACTTATTTGTCCGAAGAAATATATGTAAAACGGCCCTATACAAAAATAGCGTTGTTGACATGGCACCCAAAATATTTAATAAAATTCCAGACGCAATAAAAAATCTTAGTGGAATGCAATTCAAGCATGTATTAAAACAATTATTAATTGACAAGTGTTACTATAGCATAGAAGAATATTTTAATGACAGTTTCTTAGAATAGGTAAAGGCTGACAGTTGGGTACCATTTAGTTATTAAGTTTTTTGACATTGTATCCATTTTTCTTTTATTTTTATTTTGACATTACATTTTTATTTCATTGACTTCGTATGCCACTTTGGCTTATTGCAGAGATTCCATAAAATTATTATTACCATATCGAGTTCTTAGGTTTTCGCGATTGTTATACATAGGAATGAAACTATTTTTCCGGATTTAAATCGCGTATACTGACGGTCAACCGTGACCATGGGACCTGTAAAGGGCCCGAAACGTCGGTTTGTTTGAAAAAACAAATATACGCGATTTAAATCCGGAAAAATAGTTTCATTCTTATTATTACCATCTATATCATGTACCTGTAATAACGAATGAATAAATGAATTGAATTGAATTGAATTGATTTCATATCATATTTCCTTCATATTCACAACCTGGCTTTTACCCATTCTTAAAGTTACAATAGTCACTCTTTATAAGATGGGTGTACTACGCGAATGACGATATGTGAATGCCGATTACGCAAATGACGATAGTGCGAATACGGTTGCGCGAAAGAGTAAATGCGTGATAGTTCATTTGCGCGTATGCTCAGTTGCGCAATAGTTCATTTGCGCAAATGACGATAGCACGAAGACAGATTTGTGGCAGCTGGAAGGCAAGTTAATTGTTGCAAGTACACCCTAATAAACTTTTACAAAAATAAATGTATAGTTTCATTGACTTACAAATAAATGGACGACGGGTCTAATACAATGTATAGTTTATTATGAAAGCTTTGCTTTGCAAAGAATTGCAGCCATGGGAGTCAAATCTGTCTTCGTGTTATCGTCATCGTTGTCATGTTATCGCGCAAATGAACTGTCGCGCATTTAAGCTTTCGCGCAACCGTCTTCGCACTATCGTCATTCGCATAATCGGCATTCGCACTCACGTTGAGTTCCAGAAAGTAAGGCATCGATATTTCAAAAGTGCATCCGTCAGAAATTAATAAAAATAATACGTACTATATATACAAAGAAAAAGAACAACCCCTATAGTTTACACATTATTCTCAGCGGAATTTGCCTTATGAATGCGTACTGGAATTTTGTTTTTGCACACTCAACGACCACAAATTACACCCAAACTCACGAGAGAGAAAAAAATATAGGCGATACAAATATTTATCCCGGCCCGGGAATCGAACCCGGGACCTCTGCGAGGTCGTCTAGCATGACAACCATTCGGCCACGGAGGCAGTTACATGAAACAAGTCATGCTTATGAGAAATTTGATGTCTCCTATTTCTTGGGACTAGGAATAAAATTAAATTATTATACAATTTTTATGACTACCTTCATCTAATGCGTGTGGATAGGACAATTAAATCTGGAGACAATCATCTTCAGGACATCATTTTCACTGTGCCGCAGGCGATGCATTGGGTTAATACAGTCCTTATATCTACAGGGCCAAGTGTTTATGTGTGTGTACCGTCTAGACTCTCGGGTATCTCTCAGAGAAAAGTTTAAGGAGACTGATATCATGACTGTGGCATCACAGTACATTTACTCAAATATTTTATATGCCCGTAAAAATTTACATAATTTCAATAAGAAAGAAGATATCCATAATATTAACCTTAGAGCTAAGTCCAAACTCATGGTACCACGATTTCGTTTAACCAAGGTAAACAACTCTTTTATGGGGAACTGTATACATTTTTACAATAAGATTCCGGAGCATATATTAAGTTTATCATTTCCTAAGTTTAAAAACTGCATTAAAAATATTTTGATCGAAAAATCATATTACAAAATTGAAGACTACGTGTTAGATAAAGATGTATGGAAAGACGACATGGCTCCAGAATCCACACAAACTTGATTCAAAGTGTATTCCATAGCATTTAAGTTTATTTGAAAAGAGCAATCCCTAGAGTTTCTTGCTCGTTCTTCTCGGGGAGGTCAGCGTAGTGAACGAGCAGTAGCTTAAATGTAGCTTAAATGTGACGTTTTCAAGTGTAAATTTATTTTACCTATGGAATAAATAATCTTTGACTTTGACTTTGACAAGAATCAATTTTGAGAAATAAGATTTGAAATAGCTCTCTATCGCTTACAACAATCCAAAGTCCACAGTTGAGTACCCGTTTCTTTTTCTTACGCTTTGTTGAATTATTCATTATAAGAAGAAAAACCCGTGCTCAGCAGCGTGTATAGTTGTTCATACAATCACATATGCAATGTTTATGAACGACTGTGACGTAATGACGTCAATGCGTATCGAATGTCGTTTCAAAATGCCAGAGGTCTGGGAACCTTGGGTTCTATAAGGAAATTCCGGTTGTAAAACTAAAGGGCGCCTTTAAACTGAAACGTAGTACATTCGAAAGGAAAGTACTTTTAAATGCAGAGACTGAACGAATTTTTCGAAGATAAATATTAATCCAATTTCGGACCCAACAAATCCATATGCAATTACAAAATAAAATTAAATATCAATACATAAAATTAAAAAATTAAAAACATAAAATTGTAACCAAAACAAATAATTTAAAGGACAATATTTTGCAGAACAAGCTATATATACTAAGCCATCATCTTCAATGATTTATTAAGATATTTTTGTCGAAACTGTACACGTCAAATTTTATTGATAGGGATAAGTGGAAAAGAAATTCCACTTACCCCAACCAGTGATGGTGTGGTAGGGAAGAGTGGAAAAAAAGCGCTTGTCATCACCAGGTTGGTAGGTACTAAGAAAAATAAAATAAAATTTAGTATGTAAGATTAAAAGATTAAAAATATAAATGATATGGATTAAATATATAATATATATATCCCCATATTACTTAAGTGTTATTAGTTAAGAGCTAGGATGTTTAAGTTTTGTTTGAAGTTTTTGAGAATTGTTTTTCTTTATTAAATAGGTGTCCTCTGCCCTTTCAATAATAATTATAATAAGGACCTTGTTATTTAAGATCTTTGCCAATTTTATATGAAGCAATAAACTAAATTGACGTTATTTTATTTTTATAAGTAAGTAATACTGCAATCAAAATGTTTTTAAGTTGCCTTCCTCGAAAAAGAAACAAATACAGATATTTTCATATCATGAAGCAGTAAGTATCAATTTTATTGTTAATTCTTTTTAATGTGTTTGACGGCCTCGGTGGTCGAGTGGCTTGCATACCGGTTTTCATGTTATCTTTGAGGTCCCGGGTTCGATTCCCGGCCGGGTCAGTGTAGAATACTAATTTTTCTATATTGTCTCTGGTATATTGTTTCCGTAACATAAGTTCTTTAGCTACTTACTTTGGGATCAGAGTGAAGTTGTATAATATTTTTATATAATTATATTAATAAATATACATATTTTAAAGTAAAGGCGTAGTAGCCTATGGCATGACCTACCACCTCTAAAACAGAGGTCTCAATTAAAATTGACGTTGTGACTGAACTGCAACCAGTCAATTCTGGGCATCGGGCACAGTTCACCTCAGAAGAGTAGAACAGGAGCTGCTTTGGACATGCGTGTCGCATACCACGAGGCGAATGACTAGTTCGCCCTGTGCATTAAGTAGGAAAGCGTTCTTTAACTTACCTAAGTAATTTTTCAATAAGCTGTTTCCCTAAAAACCCGGAGCCGCCAGTCACGAACACCACCGCGCCATTGTAGAATTGCTGCACTCCGGAGCCCCCTTTTTCGATGGCGTCGATAATTGCACGCTGCTTCGACAACGCTGCAACCTCAAGAGCTAAAGCTGGATCCATTCTTCTGTAAGATTAAAAAAAACCAATTGTTTTACCTCCTAGGCCTTGCAAAGTTCAATGGTAACAGTAAATTAATTCAGTAGAGCTTATTGTGAAAGAGTTTGTCCAGGGAAGTACTGCCACCTTACGTGTTTCTACCGCCAAGCAGTAATGTTAGTTACTGCGTTCCGGTTTTGACGGGTAAGGACAGGCGCTGTGGCAGGGCCAGGTTTAAAACTCTGAGTGGCACAGCGACTGTTATAGACAAGGATTCAAAAGATCATGGACGGGCGTGTAGCTCACAATCAGGTACACGACTTGTTCGTCCCGTTACTTGATTATATTAACTTACTAAACTTGACTGTGAGTGACAAACTAACAAATTTTACAGATTTTTTCATATATTTTTACTTATAAATGTGATACTAAATTGAATTTTAATATTTATCCGCTCACGCGATTCATGCGTGTCTGGAAGCATACCACACCTAGAGGTGCCGGTGATGATTTTATACCGATTTATCGGATATCGAAGTTATAAAAGGTAAAAGAACTAATACTAATTGCTACTTCGTTAACTACTCTAGCAAACCATAAAGTTTTTAATGTCTGGGTCTGTCATTTAAAAAAAAAACAACTTCAAAAATACGTCTCGACAATCGTGTGTGTTATTGTTTGGGCTGGTGATGTCGGTGTTTATTTATTGAAAACATACAGTAAGTTGCGTTTTTTAAGTATACCCTGAATATAAATGTTTATAAACTATACTTTAAGGAGTAATTTCGTGGTAAACATTAGAACCACTCAAACGGAATATTATCATATTTACCCAAGTACACCAAAAATTTCATTAGCGCTTTTTAAGTGCAGGATTTGCGGGGTATTACTGCATTTTATTTGAGATGTTTTTGTTCTAGTACGGAGGGTATTTATTTAGCAATGCAGAATAATAATTTTTATTTTTAAAAACTTGTATTTAAACTGAATCCTTTTCTAATTTGCGAAACCAAATAGCCGCCATTTTGCGGTTGGATGAGCGCATCGCGTGAGCGGATAGTAATGAATTTCGTAACCGACTGTGTAACAACTAAATTTTTATAAAAAATGGATGTTAAGCCTTTTTTGGTGCTTACAATATTTTTGTTATCTCTATCAAAAGATTTTTGAGGCTTTCTAGGTAATAATTGCGATTAAAATTACTATACAACAAGTTTTTTGTCATTTAGTTTATTATTAATCAACGAAACAAGTGGTGTCGCTTACGTTGTGGTTTTTTTAATAACATCATCATCAACAACAAGTTTGAAGAAACAGTTGCTTGCAGAATCTAAGACTTCTGCTTCTTCTTTAAATCTCGATACGTCCAATTCATTTATTTTATTTAAAAAAAACAGCCATATTTATTTACTAATATTACCCCTGAACTCTTTGGATTCTATAACCAAGAACGAATCGGACGTACTGCGCAAGCGCTCTGAATTCGATTAGTAAGAAAAAATCAAATTTTTATATACACGCACCCCTATAAGTAGTGTGTAAAAAGAAAATTAACTTTTAACCCTTCCATAATAGTAAGCTTCCGCTGTAATGCCGGTGGTAGTTGCATCAGAATTCTACAATTTATCAGAGATTTCTTAATTTTAAAAACCTAGTAGCACTCCTAGTCTGGTTCGTGACCAGCCATAAATGTTCAAGACACCAATTAACCAATTCAAAACAAAGCAAGTACACTTTATAAGTTTTAAAGTAGTTAAAGTGCCTTAGATATTTGAGTCGGCAATTAGATAGTGGAACTCTAGTGATACTGAAAACATCCGCCCGTCAATTATGGACCGATTTTGAAAATTCTTTTTTGTTTGAAAGGGTGCATTCTCGTGGTGGTACCATTGTCACCAAGTCAGAGTCTGACGAGGGGATTCCATGAAAATCGAAGGAAATCCTCAAATTTCATACGCATGTCCGTGTATTCACCAATTTCTCCATCAATTGTGCACCGATTTTGAAAATTCGCAAATAAAATATTGACTCGATCGACTTTTCACTTGATATAATACATTGACTTACAAATAAATGGACGACGGGTCTAATACAAAAACCACGAAAAACATGTCCCAAGTAAAGTAAAGTAAAGTAAAGTAAAGTAAACGTTTATTTCTCATCACAAACTATAGGTATGACAATAATAGTAATAACTAAACTAATGTAATTTAATTATAGTTTGTGAGGGAGCTGGAATCTAAACTAGGTCGAAACCTGTCATATAGCTTCCAGGCCCCCCACCACGGACATTAGGACTTATGAGCTAACTACTTGGAAAATAAATATAATTGGAAAAAAATATGTATGTTATAGGCGTGTATAGTAGAGGAAGTGTGTAAGTGAGAGTGTTTTGAGTTAAAAGTATGTATAAATATATACGAGTATAAAATATGTAATATAAATGTGTGTGTGCGTGTGTGTAAGTGTGTGTGGATGGTATGTGTGTGTGTGTGTTTCAGTGTGTGTCTTTGTGAGATCCAACAACCGCGCGGGACGTTTAAAATGAGTAAATTTTTTTCTAGTTTATTTTCAATTTATAAAAAGTTATATTATAATTTCTAGAAGTTTTTCAGTTTTTTCATAATTTTGTTGCTTGAGCCATTTTATAATTTTATTTTTACATTCATTTTTACAGAATTTTACAATGTTTAGTTTTTTATTTATGGAATTGTACAATCTCCCACTTCTAAAGTGATAAAATCTATATGCAAAAGAAGTATGAACTACATTTGGCTTACATACTGTATAGAATCTTCTGTCTGTGGATACTGTATTAAGTAAACCTATTCGAAATTTAAATTGTAATGTCATCGCAGTATCGCGCTGTCAGTCGAACAAATGAAGACTAAAGCTGAGTTTGGCGCTCAGTATACGATTTTAGCGCCTTACAAGTGCGGACACTTTTTAGCGCGGACCCGACGTCCATATAACTGTAAGTCAATGATATAATACATGTAATCAACCAAGCACCGTCACAATGACAACGAGAAAAGAAAATAGAAAATGTACAAAGGAGTCCGTAACCACCAAGAAGTCAGAATTTGATGAGAGGATCCCAAGGAAATCGAAGAAAGCCCATAAACAAACTTATGAAGTCGGTTTATTTTTCAATGAAAAAGTTACAATTATTAATTTAATTAGTCAGCAAAATTAAATTTTATTCCAAATTTTCTAATGCAATAACTAAACCAAGTACTAGACTCCTTAAAACTAAGTTTACGTTTATAAAACATTTGAGGGAATTTATATTTGATAGGCAAAAACTGGGTTTTCCTAAACGGTTTACATAGCGGAGGCTTCTAGAATGAAGTCCCCTTGCTTCTTGGACATTTATTATCATCATTTTATGTTACAATGGCTTTCATCGATATTAAGTACTGATTATTATTATTATTTTATTTTAATTATACCAATTATGAATTTGTATTAATATTTTTTCAAATTTTCATTTTATTCTTTTTTACAGTTACTATTTTTTTTTTATATTTTATAATGCACATAATTCTCACGTGATACTAACATATGCACGCTACATTCACCTCACAATGTTTTTGTTTTTGATGCACCGCAACGCGCTACCCTCGAAGGTGGTGGCTGAAAATCAGTGCCTTGCTCGTGAGCAAATTTTGCACTGAGCCACGACCTATTTGGCTTGCTTTAGCACACACACACAGCTGTTGATAATTAGGTTAGTATTATGTTTTTATGCTTTTTTTCGTTTTAATTTTGATTTCTGTGTCTCTTAATCAATTTACTCTATTATATTGTTGTGTGTGTGATGCAAGACAATAAACGTTTTATCTATCTATATATATTGTGTTTTGTTTGTGGCTGCTACAGTAACTTTACTTATGTACATAAATATTTAAAGTTAGTAAGGGAATAACATATCTCAGAATCGACGAAAAACTAATTACTCGCTTCCCGAGAAAGATCTGTCTAAATTTATGTATAAGTTATTTCCTACTTGCCAATTATATATATTTAAAAAAAATAGTTTCATATTTTCGAATAAGGACAATTTTGGCCAGAACTAGGTCACATAAAGCGTGTCTCACCGTGAGTTAAGTAGATATATTTGGTTGTTTTTTACAATATTCAAACGACGGTTTTTGTGACGTGTAAATAATCAAATTTTACGTTCAACAATGGTATAATCTTGAATTTCACGTATTTCGAGTTTTAACACTATTGTAATAGCAGTGCGATATTATCGTTACTGAATGTAAAATTATATTCTCTACACGTCAATAAAAACATGGTTACAATACTGTAAGACATAATTAAAAGATATCTGTATTAGGAATACTTTTTTCACTTTAAACTTTAAGGGCGATCTCGACTTATGTTTTTGAGCTTTCCTGTAAAATTTTGACCAAAACCAATACTAGGTTTTGTCATGGGGCAGCCGCACATAGTAAAGCCTGTAGTTTTTTCAGATCTGAATAACCCCGTACTAACATACTTAGTTATAATATATAATTTTACAGTAAAAACTTTTACTGTCAAATATTGACTTACAATTATATGGACGTCGGGTCCGCGCTAAAAAGTGTCCGAACTTATACAGATACAGTATACAGAGCGTCATTTACGCTCTAGTCTTCGTTTTTTCGACTGACAGCGAAGCAAGCAAAATTAGACAGTACTGCGATGACATTACAATTTAAATTCAACGTTTTAGCTTTTTCATATTCCTTGACATGTCACTACGTTTAAATAGGTTGACTTGGGACATTTTTTTTGTAGTTTTTGTATTAGACCCGTCGTCCATTTATTTGTAAGTCAATGCTGTCAAAGTTAAAACCTGCACTTGAAAACGTTATTTTTTAAGCTACTCCCCGTTCATTACGCTAACATCCCTGAGAAGAACGAGCTATGGATTGCTATTTTCAAATAAACTTAAATGCACTTGGACAATTCTTTATCTAACACATACTCTTAAATGTTGTAATATGACCTTTCAATTAAAGTACTTTTAA